CACCCTTGCTCGTCTGTCTTTCTAATCAGGCTGTTATGTAACGCCGGGTGACAAATTGACAAATATATCCTGATTACTGCCGCAGTGGCTCGGGGGACACGTTTATAGTCCGGGTATAAACTTGTTAAGGGCCAGTGGCGCTAGGACGGCGACGCTGGAGGGTGATAGTAGTTATCAGAAGGGAGAGGCCGGCGTCTCGGCGCCGCCACCAGGCCTTCTATTTATCTCCTAAAGGGATTTCGATTCCAAGAAAAATATCCTTCCAAAACTGAGTTTCTTTTCCCGTAGTGAGGTATTTAAAAATGTATGATTGTAAAATTGTATTTGGACTGTCAACCCACGTATAGAATTATTGTCATAATTATGATGAAATAGTTTTAAACGTGAGATAGGTATCCGAAACCTAAATTTAGTGTACTTTAATTCAAAACTTGAGATTTATCCATGTAGGATTTATATGCAAAATTTGAGATTTTTATATGATATATGGGATTTTCCCCAAAATGTTTGACGAGGTTTCTGACAGCATTTCAGAATATTTTGATATGGTATGTTACAAAATAAAACTTAGGATACAAAGTTTCGCGGGGAGTATAAGCAAATTAATTTCTTTAATTTTTTGTTCAGTACGATATCAGGTAGGCCCTACTACCTCAAGACTAGATATATTTGGAGGACAACAGGGGATTAAATGGATTTTACCCACACGTTGGAATGTCTTATCATGTTCTAACACCGGCGGCGCCTGTTATCAGAGGAAGGTTATACATCGGAGGACAGAGACAGATAACCAGATAACCAACCGACCGTGGTTTGTCATTGGGGCGTAACACAGTGGCTTCCTGTTAGAGAGTATATTGACTTGGTCGCGGAGGTGAAATGGCAGAACATTTACCTGCCAATCACAATAAACATAGTTAACGAAATCTCTGCTTTATGTCCGAGGGGGTTTTGTAAAGATGTTATATACAGTATTTCGTAGCCAGTTTATTTATTTTCAATCCAACCGTGACACATTTTCCAAATCAATTTGATGATAACAGCATTTAATGAGAAAAAATACACCACCCAGTTTAATTGCTTGGGGATTATAATTGGGGCAGTTCTCTAAAATCTTGATTCTTTACATATTCTTGACATGTCACCCTCCAAAGAAGAGCGAGGCCTGGAAACCCCTTGAGTCCTTATTCTGGAATCTACATGAGAGAAAATGTTAAAGATGAATTCTTTAAAAGACCAAACCTATTACAAATAACAACAGATCACTATTTACTGTAGGTCTTCTGCTTAGATAATTTCTTTCACATACTGGATCTCAAACCCCGCCAAAACACAAAGATTTCCCGCGCAATACAGCCGAGCGCATTTGTATGCAACCAGTTTCGGCAGCCTTGGCCGTGAGCGTCTTATCAGCTATGTATCTCTGCTGTCTCTTTGTCTGCTAACAACCGCGGCGATTCACAATGGTCCATCTCATCTCACACACACGGCCTACTTGCATCGCATCACGTGACAGTCACGGATATCTAGAGTAACATAGGGTGGGCGACGTGCGCCTTTGTAGACGCGATGACGTAGTGAAGTGCTGCCGAACGCTTCTGCACACGTTGTTAGTGATCTACCCGGGACTCTATATTTTAATTGGTCGAGAGCGTATTCATGATATTTGATACTTGGAGATTTCCCACTGGACTGCAACCTTAGTCGTCAAAATAGTGGTCATTTTTACTCTTCCTCAAAATTCTCTGCAAGTGAACAATGTTGTATGACCTCAACAATGTTGTGTGAGCAGAGTTGTATGACCTCTTCAATTCAATACTCCTTGTATTCGTGTGGATAACTCTTATTGTGTGTTATTGAGATTGGCATTGCTACGAGTGGGTTGACATTTCTCGCAGGCCCTATGTATTTCTCAACCCGTCAAAAACTCAAACGTTTCCCGCACAAAGAGCGAAGCATAAGTTTTGAATGGAACCACTTTCGACAAAAAATGGTTTGGCTAATTTCTAGGTGTCCAAAGAATCATTCGGTTATTGCTAACTACAGTAATTGGTTAATATGTTAATACTAGGGGGTTCTGCTGAAGTAATATTTACCTTTTTGTTTGTATACTGAAGTTGATGGAGACTTACAGGATGAAACGGTAGCTTACTGTAGAGTTTAAGCTACCATTTCAGCTTGGAAGGGTTGAAAGGCTGACATAAGAAAATCTCATGTATTGCCCACTAAGAAGTAAGCAATAACTGAATGATTCGTAATAATGGATGAGTAAGGACTCATCCTCGCTTTCCTAAAATCTATGACCTCTAAAGGTAAACGTCGCTTTACACGTCGACACATTCTCATATTGCAATGTCATAAATTGTCGATTTTCTTCATAATCAGCTTCTGCTGTTCGGAATTTGTGTTTTTATCTTGTTCTTTCACTTCCGTTGTAACTAGCATAATTCATTCTTGCGTGTTAAAAAGTGTTAAAAATGTTCTCTCAGTCTACTCTCATTTGTTGGGTTCTGTTTTCCTAGTTGTAAGCCATCACTCCTATTTGAATCGATTTGTTGGCACAGGACTTAGAGGCTGGTAAATCTTATTGCTTCGAGGAATGTAAATCAAATTAGCAAAACGAGCAATATTTTAAAACATTTTCCTGTTGGTACTCTACAATTTGTGAAGTACCCAAGTCTCAATACACTAAAACAAACCTAGATCAACAACCCCTGATTTGTCACAGACCTGTGCAGTCTGTATCGCACTGTCTATTTGATTCAAGGATGTGAATTCTTTGCTCCACACTCCCCATGGGTCTACTGGACCGCTGCCAGCGTCATATGTTATGTAAACTTTCACTCTCTGTGGGCGGGGAAGGGCGAACCATACAGACCAAGGCCGATCTACGGGAGTCGACCGAGAAAATCGACCGGTTTTTCAGCACAAACAAATCTTTCAAGTTCCGTTTCTCCGGCGAAATTTGTTGACCAGTGTTTCAAATCTGATCGTGGTCTAAGAAGAGATTTATACCAGGGATTTAAAAATTTCCCACACACCTAGGTCAAAAACGCTAATATAACTATTCTCAACCAAGTACGTTTGATACAACCTTAACAAATATATAGGCCTTAGGTTAGTTATTGTTTGTTTAGAACTGCCATGATATTGGTATTCCCAATCTTTACTTGTAAAGTTACTGGGGAAAGTAAAAGGCCTTCTAGGCGATGATTCATTGTAGGGTAATGATAAACTCGTTTGTTTTTGTTTGGATCAACTAACCTCCTGGAGGATTATATTGTTACCCGGTCGGACAACATCCTCCTTAGAGAGCATTAGGGAATATTGATGACGAGATTTGTACCTATGTGTTTTGAAACCTAGGATATTTCGTCATTGTTTGTGACCAATTTATCGAATTGTCGACTGTTGAATTTTATTTAAAAGCTTAAAACAGATTTAGCTTTGTTAAAAAAAAAATATGATTCCATCACCATACTGAGTAAGTTTCCAGAAATGGTATTTATTGAGAGATGAACGGGTCTTTTAGTAGTTTTGTCGTTGCATGTGTCTATTTTTAGACACTGATAGTTGATATGAATTAAAAGATACCTAGATACTACAGTCAGTTACCCCTACGGTTTTGCAGTGAAATATCTGTAAACATGAAAAAGGTATTTTACAACACACTGTATCAATTAAGTACATTCTTTTTGTTCTTTAACTGACTCCAACCATTTATAAAACATACTCTCTTCTACAATCATTGACCATATACAGTACACGTAATACAGTCCCAACTAGTCAATGCTACAATATAACAATTAAATTTACAAATGTCTAAATTACGTTAAAGACTTTCCATCTGCGTTTTGTCAATGTTTATTGTTGGAGTAGAGCCACGGTACTTGTGCTGGAGCACGGCACTTTGTTGGTAGGCTACTGTTAGTCTACCTATCCCATCTGCCTACCAGCTGCTCAATCGCTCCCTAACCACAGAACATAGGGTGTACACTCTCCACACCTATTGAGTAGCCTACAATTGAATACAAACATGTAATTTTTTGCGCCCGTTTTTCATGCTCGAATTTAACGTAGTCATCAAACTAATTTTTGCCTAATTTTTTTTACTGGCATTTTTAAATTGTTTTAAGGCCTTAGCATTATGACATGTTTGCACAATTAAAAAAATATATATGCATCTTTTAAGTAGCCTATATGAGCCGACTTTTGCTGCTTTGATATGTTTACTTTGCCCTTGTGTTTGGCAACCCCAACTATAAAACTTCCAAATTGCTCTTTCATTTGGGGGTCATAAGAGATCCCCTTTGGGGTTTACGATCCTTTGGCTCCAGTCTTACATAAAATCGCAAGAAGAATAGCAATTTGTTTTTATTCCTTTAGATAAGAAGTGACTAACAACAATTAAGTATAATGAAATATTCTAACATTAATATGAAATTGTTATTCTTTTAGTCTATGGTTGTAAAATTTTTTGGTACCTTGTTAAAAATGAGTATTTAAAGTAATGTTAAGCAAGCAGGAAACCCACTATAGCCAACTCTTACAAATCAACTGTACAAGTTACAGTTTAGAATATTTTATTGTAATTGTATTTTATTTTCCTATCAGAGTCAAATAATATTGTAAACATTTACCTGGGTAACTGGCTGAAAATTATTTTCACTTTTTAATCGGAAGGTTGCTTAGTTTGATTCTGAGGAGTCTGAAGGTTTTTGAGGGCTAGAAACTGGACCCGTATTATTAGGTTGGTCTTTTTCAAAGTTCAAATTGATTTTCCTTGATCAAATAGTTGTCTAAAGAACCAACCGATCTTGTTCTGTGACAAGCTGTCATCTCATTTATTCTACATTCAACACTCATCCTTTACTCATTCACCTTACATATACGCAAATAGGTTTGTTAATAAATCTAAAGTAATCTAATCTAGTACTAATACCTCAGCATTTGTAATAATTTGTTTCTTCTCACACGCTAAATATCTTTTTGTGTTCCAGCGTCACCTGGACAAGGGTGGAGACTTGTTGGAGGAGGCGTCCCAAGTTAGCGGACAAAGTGGCTCGTCAGGCCTCCGAGACCTCGCTCGCTCACTCAAGAACCATCTGAGGGGCTTCAGCGACCGACTCGAGGATACTAGAGAACGACTCGAGGACACCTCAAGATGCTTCTACCTCCTGGACAAGGTGAGCGAGATGTTCGGTCTTGAGCGAACTGGCAAGACTGTGACTAAAAGAAAGGCAAAGACTCTTTAGTCAATATAATTGGAATCAATGTAATGATAAATGAAAATGATTTTGCCAGGTTTTATTTTTGCAATGTTTGTCAATAAATTATGACAACCATCAAAGATTTAATTGAAGATCCTACCAAGCAAATGGAAATTTGCTGCTTCAATGTGAAAAATGAGAGTGGTTGTATTTCTTTGCAGTAAGCTGGATAACTTGTAAATTGATAGTCATGGTATTTCCCAAATCGTTATTTAGTACCACTCTGTAGCTTCTGTGAATCAGATTTTTAGCAGACTAAGTAAATGAGTTGAACCTAACATAATTCTTTGTTCAACTTTTAGGCGTACGAGTGGGCGCTAGAGGCTATGAAGTACATGTCTCGAGTAAAGCCAGAAGATGCCCAGAACCCAGAGCCAAGTGTAAAGCAGCTCAAACAGTACCTGATGGCCCATCCTCCCCTCGGCCCGGAGCATTTCACCGAGATGATGGGGTTGGCCAAGAAACTAAACAACGACAAATTGCTGGAGCAATGCAAGGTAACCCTTATGATATTGTTGGGTCTAGCTCTTTGAACTTAAATTTTGCAAAGCGAGAGTTACTAAACTAGATTTTAGCTCACATAACAGAGTTTTTTATGTGTATGAAAACCTCATATCCTCAGGATACAATTCTAGTGTCTAACATGGAGTACCAGAGCAGCACAACGCCAACACTGAACTTAAATTTTATTCCAGACACTTGTTTCATTTTGCCTTTTTCCGAGCACAATGACGGATGCAGAGGACATTTCTGCGTTGAAAAAACCCTGTTTTAAGCAGAAAGTTAATTAGTAAGGTGGAAATTATTATATTATGATGAGCGATTGATGTCGTCTCTGTGGAATGACTGGTACAATCATTTCATGAATGTCATTGTTAAAAAATCATGTCTTAGGTCCTTAAACAGGTGGTGATATTTACCAAATCCAGTCTTTCTTCTGTTGGCAGTGTAACACCATACTTTTTAGGTTTAGAAAACTTGCTGAGTAAAACTTGCCTAGCAAAATTACTACCACTCAATAAAATAGCATCATCCTCCTGAGAAGCCTTTTTGTCAACTAAAATCGCAGTTGCCACTTGTATTCTTATCACTACAATCTGCTCCGACACCTGTATCATGTACTAAGACTTAAACGATTAAAAAACAAGTCATTTGTTGTCTGAAGAATCTTATTGGTTCTTGTCCTCTTATTCAATAAAACTAAGTTAAAGCTTCTCTAAAATAAAATTGTATTTATTTCATTACTATTGCAGGTAGCCCAGTGCCGGTGTGAAGAGACCATCGACCAGATCAGATCCATCTTGGGTAGCGAGGCAGTAGCAACGTCATGGACCACCAGCACTCCCCTGCCCGGCAGACGACGCAGTCTACCCTCCCCCCAGTCCAACCACACTCCTGGACCTTCCTGTGCTTGTTGGGATCCTCCCACCACCTCCCCACCTCTGGACGACATCCGGGAGGAGTGCTTCTGTCGTCCCTCCCACCAGTTGCAGCGGTCCTGCACCTGGCAGTACCCGACGGAGAGTTACGACGATGAAGACAAACTAAGCTCATCAGCGGACAATACCACAGAGGGCAGCGAAACTGGGACCAAGAGGTGAGAAAGCTTGTGAATTAGTTAACACAGGTTAAATGATAAATTTAAAATTGTAAAAATTAAAATTACATGTTGTAGGCCTAATGGTAAGTTTATTTTCATAAACGTGTTGGCCCAGTAAAGCACAGAGGGTTATAAATTAATTTTACCAAGATTTAAATCTGCAGTCAGTTTTAGGGGATGTGGACTGTATAGGGGGTATAGTTGTATTTTGTAGAGCTAGTTGATCAGTGTTATTAAAGGGTCTTTTTAACAACTGTCAAATGCAAACCGTGCGATCAAAGTTGTACATTGTTAATTTTGTGTTTGCGTAGTGGTGAGGACCTAGAGGAGCATGTAGACGAGTGTGGCAAACTTGTGCCTCCGATACCTGTCAACAGTCATCTACATTGTGACCTGAGTCTGCAGATGGACAACATGCAGGGCGGCACTCAGACACTCAAAACCAAAAAGTGAGTAGAATATCAATCCTTTGTTGACTTTATACACAGAAGTGTAGTAAAAATTGTCATGGTTATAGTCTTTGACTATGGATCAAACACATGCCATGTGCACATTTTTATGTATGGCTATTGATCCCATTCACAAGAACTGATGTAGCCAATTTTAGAATCAAAATGTAGTTGAATCGAGCCACCAACATGGCTGGTGTAAATTATTGATTTCTGTTGATTACTCAAACCTTTAACCAAGCCAAACTGAAAAGACAATGTTTTGTAAACTGTAGTATATTTTAGAGTACTGTATATTCAATTGTTCAATTGTAAATTCATTGTTGTTTATGTTGAACAAAATAGTTTGATAAGTCTGTTATAACATACTTGAACAACACTGGCTGTGATGTTTTTCACTTTTGATTATATTTTTCTAACTGGTTTGGTGATTTAGGATTGTATTGTTTAAAATTGCTTACTTTGACAATTTTGTTTCAGAACCATGTTACTTATAATGAGAGAAATGATTCAGACTGAAAGAGACTACGTCAAATCCTTAGAATATGTTATTGAGGTAAGTCACAGTGTAATGATTGAATCAGTTATCGAATCTGAGTAGTCAATTTACACGTTTGTTACCAAGAGTTAAGAAATATAATTATACCTCTATAGGAGTACTTGCGGTAAAACGTTGAATTCACTATTACCAAAAGATAATTAAGATAATAGCTATTCAAGAAAACTATAAAAGTGACATTATCATGCTTTTAAAGATGAGGGGCGTATGCATTATCAATCAAATAATTATACTCCAATTATATTGCTAATATTTGATAAGTCAGTAGAATGACAGACTGTGGAAACAGGGCAAAATCCTTCACGTACTTCCCCTTCCGCTCTCCTTTCCCCCCTCGCCATCACGTAGCGTATAACAGCGCTTACGCAGTAGGAAGACCCGATGCGCTACAACTGCTGTACACATATGCTATGTGACCATCACCATTAATTAGGGCTCTTCCCTGCTCGATACTAGTACATTTCCGCCCCAACTAGAAGCTATATGCGTACGGTTGTCCAATAAGGTTTAAGTCTCTGTATCTTACTTCGCTGTGGTTGTACTAAATAAAACAAAGCAGTAAATATCCCTGGTAGTTTTTTTTATTTCATTAGTTTAGTAAATTAGTTATTTTAAAGTTATTAATTCAACTTAATCCTGATCACAGAATTACATTCCCGAGTTGGTGAGAGAAGACATTCCCCAAGCTTTAAGAGGCCAGCGTAACGTCATCTTTGGCAACATAGAGAAGATCTACGAGTTTCACAGTCAGTTCTTCTTGCAAGAGCTTGAACGATGTGAACAAACACCGCTTTCCATCGGACAGAGCTTTCTGAGACATGTGAGTACTACTTACTCAAAACAACCTTACCTATATAATTTATTCACATAAATTAAAAAAATATATTTTGTTGGAAATAACGGACATTACCAACAACAACAAAAAACTGACTTTTTAACTTTTAAGTGCGAGTCACATAGCTTCAAACATTAGTATGAAGTTACTGTATGACATACTACAGAATGAATACGCACACTTATTATAATGTTCTCTATTATTTTTTTTCTCCCCTCTGTACAGAAAATATGTCTGAGGTTTTCCTCCATTACATGTTTTGTAAAGTTTCCGCATGTACTGAGTATAAACTTTAATAAATATACTGTAATGGTTTTTACTGTTTCAAGTATATTATAAAGGTATGTATTTTGCGTGTGCTGTCATTGTTGTTTCAAACTAAAATCATATGAATGTTTTTCAGGAGAAGAAGTTTTACCTCTACGCTTTATACAACAAAAACAAACCAAAGTCAGATTCTTTGATGTCGGAATATGGCTCATCTTTCTTCAAGGTAAGCCAAGCCAATTTTTACATATCAATTTAATTTCTTTCTGCAAGGGAAAATTTTGGAGAGTGTCAAAATAAGAATCTTATATTTTAGTCATCCTATAAGTTTACTGTATAACTAATATGAAAATAGAGAAAAATTGAATGACCTCCAAACTTAACAATACTCTAATAGTCAATAGTTCTCACCGTTCTAAGTATTTTTACAGTTGTTCATTATGAACAAAGATTTTTTTTACGTTTCATAGTTCCTTTTTTCAGACACCTTGATTGTTTGAATCTATGTTGTAAGAGTCTCCAGGCTTCATTCAGTTCCCTAAAGGGTTGCTGAACTTACGATTCATTTAAGCGGTTTTTATTTTGTTTGAAAACTAGGAGTTAAAACATATTAATTGACTATTCGTTAAACATTTCTAGCTGATCTGAAGAGAGTTTTTATTTTCTCTGTATTGCATCGAGTTCTCTTCAATCCTTTAGATTTCCTCTCGGACCCTCAAAATCTTCAACATTGCTACTTATGTGAATGGTTTGCTCTGGATTGTACAACAGGGCAACGGTTTGCAGGGGAATGGTTTGCTCTGGGCAATTCACAGGTCTACAAGGATTTAACCAAAACTTGTTTACAAGATACACTTAGGTGGCAAAGCCATAATTTAACCATGGATCATTTTAAGTTTTGATCGTAGGGAAGGTCCAAATTAGAATAGCAATAAGCCTTTAAAGGTCTCTTAAGAACTTTTAACTCTATATCTGTTTGTTTTCCAGGCCAAGCAGCTAGAGCTGGGTGACAAGATGGACTTAGCCAGTTACTTGCTGAAGCCTGTGCAGAGGATGGGCAAGTACGCTCTGTTGCTGCAGCAGCTGATGAAGGCTTCTAGGCAAGATGTGGCGGACTTGCGAGACGCTGAGAAGATGGTTCGCTTCCAGCTGAGACACGGGAATGATCTTCTGGCCATGGACTCGCTCAGAGATTGTGACGTAAGTAGATTTTGTATGTGCTATGACTTCTTTGGATACTGAAGTAGATCTTTAGGTGGACCGATGTCTTTGGGTGTCAAGACTGCTTCGGAAGACAACCTCAACAAACAAACCCAACATATGGTCCAACAGAGCGAATTTGTAATTCAAGAACAAGCGTTTTCTCTCTTTTTTTACTGGGATAGTTGAACAAGGCCATTCAATTTGGTTCGATTAATTTTTCAACATGTATTGGATGGAAATAGAAATCAAGAACTTACATCAGTGCTCTCTGTCAGTGTCTCAAATCAACTATATCCATTTTGAGTCAATCTGATGACAAGTTTTACATGTTAAAGGAATGTCTAGTTCTATACTAAGTCAATTAAAGCTTCTATCTCACATGGAACTTATTCTATCCATCCCACTGTAACTAAATTTGAGATTGTGTTTGTGATTCAATATGATGAAATGAAAACAGTGCTTTATTGACAACAAAATACAAAATGATAGGCCTACTTGTAGTAGTCTACAACAACAATACTTGGAACGATGAAATTGTCTCTGGACATTTGTTTAAAAATACATAGTGCTCACGTATCCCATTGTATTGCATGAAATAGTCAACAGTTTCTTCTTGGCATGAGTATTCTGGGCTAGTACAAAACGTAGCCAGTCCTAGATATGCTGTTTTTAATCATCAACTAATTTCCTTGTTTGAAAAGTCTTGTTCTATAAGAATAATTTTATGTTTTGCTAAATTTCAGGTAAACGTAAAGGAACAGGGACGTCTCTTAAGGCAGAACGAATTCTTGGTTTGGCAAGGAGGTAAAGGCAAGAAGTGCCTGAGACAAGTTTTCTTATTTGAAGAGCTCATCCTCTTCAGCAAGGCTCGCAGATTCCCTGACAGAAAGGTAATGTGTACAATCACTCACTGATACGACAAAAAAAACTTGGCTTGTTTGGTTATAGGCCTACTGTAGTTTAAATAAGTCCATTGTACTTCCCGACATTTTTCCTGGACTAGAAAAAATATTAGCCTACAAATTCTCTTGTTACATGATATTCATAAGGGAATGCAGAAGTTGTTTAGGGGTTTTCGATAATATTGAATTTGGTAAATGTATGGTATTAACTAGCATTTAGATTTTTTTTTTACCTACCACACCAATTATGATAGCTTGAATTTTCGACTTCAAATTTTTGCCCTTCGTAATATTTATTTTTTAACCAAAGCTTTCATTTTAATGCAAAGCTAATCAACCTAACACCTATATGTTGGCTAAAATGACCACACCTTCAGTATTTTTTTATTATTTTTTTTTAAGAGGTTGGCGGCCTCTTTTAACTTTGCATTTGCCCGTCCACGTAGACTACAGATCTGTGCGTGGAACGTATCCAGCAAAGCAAGGGGTGAGCCGGTACAAAGGTACAAAGGTACAGTACAAAGGTGAATTGTACTGATAAAAGTTAGTGGCAGTGACCAGGATCCGAACCCACGACACTACTGCCTTGGGCCCGCAGTCCGCGACGCTACCGACTGAGCCACCGACTCACCAAATTATTTGCTAATCTTGATATTTTGTTTTCAGAACCTCGACATATACATATACAAAAACAGTATCAAAACGAGCGACATTGGGATGACAGCAAGAGTAGGAGAAAGCCCAACCAAATTTGAGATTTGGTTCAGAAAGAGAAAGCCCAATGACACATTTACCCTGCAGTCCGTGTCGGAGGATATCAAGCAGGCTTGGACTGAAGAGCTGTCCAATCTCCTGTGGAAACAGGCCGTAAGAAACAGAGGTGAGGGCAATTCTGTTTCAATTCTTGTGAAAATAAATGTGTTGTTTTAAAACTCAACTAAGTAAATGGTTTTAAAATTCAATGTAAAATTAATGTAGCTTGAAAATGTTGTTAAAACTTCAACCCCAACTGTACTATTCCTGACTTTTTCCACTGATTGAACTTAGTCAAAATTTTACTAGTTAGGGGCGTTAGAGCATACGTAGAATGATAACAAGTTGAGAAGTTGAGGGAATAGTTAGATAATATATGAACTAAGTACCGTAGGTCATTAAAACTAGACTAGTTATCATGTAACTTGCTTAAATCAATTGTGTTTTGGCATTGCTGTTGAAATAAATAATGAAGTTTAAGTGAATGTAGATTGCTCTAAAAAAATTTGGTTCCTTTATTTTTTAGATACTTCACCTTGACAATTAGTGTATATATGTTCTGCAATAAATACTCAGGATTAACGAACAGAGAACACAAAATAGAATATTTCATGAATTTGTCTACAACGGCAGCTTTAAAGTCAAATAAACAAATTCCAAACTCTGGCAAAGAATATAACTTACCTAGCTGCTTGGTTTTGTAGTTTCTTCTATCGTTAGTGGGTAAAATAGGAAATCAAACACATGGGTAGTGACTGAGAATTACCATACACAATAACAAACTTAAGTACCAGTACTATTATAGTACTGGTACTTAACATCTATAATAGATGTTTGGGAAGTAACCCAGTAAAATATTGCTTGAAACATGGATCCACCTGTTTATCTTCAGTTAAAGGTTACATGAATATAACTTGTTTGTTTTTAGAAATGCGCCTCCAGGAAATGTCTTCCATGGGGATTGGGAACAAGCCTTGCCTGGACATCAGGCCCAGTGCTGACCAAATCAGTGACAGGTCCATCAGCATTGCACAGCTCAGCAAAAGTAAGTCAAGTATATTAATCCTCTTACTAAGTTTCGGTTTCGAGATTCGATAGGCAAGTTTCCAGATTCAAAAGTTTCGAAATTGAAAATTTTGGCTCTTTTATTTTTGAAACTGCTGGAATTGTTTGTGTCATTATTATTGTTTATAACACTGTTTACATACAAGCTCGTAGCAAATAGAGCAAACATCTCCATGAACACTAATGAAACAAGTAAATTGTATTCTGAATTACAAAAGGCAATAAACACTGGAACAACTTACAATTCAGTTTCATATCAATATTTATTAGACACAAAGAAATTTGTATTGACCACTAATTATTGTTCTAATTAATCTAATGTCATATAATCTGATCATTTATTTAATATCAGGAATTCATGTTATTATGTCTGGATCGGGAGTTATCTCTTTCAGTTTTGATCACATAATCATAATAAAAATGTTATCATTACCTGTATTTTTAGGGTTACTAAAAAGTTTCGCGTTTGGGTTTTGAGATTCGAGATTCGATTTTTTAAGTTTCGGTTTTGGTTTTGAGATTCGAAATTTCTGGTTTTGACCGTCACTAGAAAGTATAAAGTATATTTTTGTCGCAGAACTCTTTTCATGCTTTAAGCATAACCTTAAGTATTATTTGTTGTAGTCGAGGGATCCAACCATTCTTAAAAATAATGAAATATATTCTAATAATCTATGAACATTTGTTTACCAACCGCTCTTTGTTTACAGCGGCTCCCCGGTTCCGCAACTCCATTGCGGTGATGCCAACTGAGACGGTGCGCAAACGTCCTCATTCCATCATCTCAGTGTCAAGCAGTAGCGGAGCGAGCAGCTCCAGCAGTAGCGAGCATCGTCTGCACCATAGCCAGTGCTCGAGTGCGGAGAGCGGCATCGTAAGTGACTGGCATACATCGACATCCGTCGCCAGTGATTCCACTTCCCCCTGGCCCGAGCAACAGTAGTGCCTTCGCCACCAAACATAAGTCTGCTTTAATTTAGGTATAAGGTGCTGATTCCGAATGTGTCTTTAGTTAAGAGGTGATTAATCAAAATATTGTACTAATTATTGTTCTCGTCGTTTATCGAGTTAAGTTAGATTCACGAAGGATTGTACAGAACTGCACCTCCTTTACTGCTTTACATACTGTACACGAATTGGACCAGTGTTAACTAATGGTTAATTGATACGGTCTTGGAGTCAGAAGAAGACCTTTCACCTGATTAAGTAAATCACGGGTCTTTTTGTGACTCATTGACAGTATTCTGTATCTTTTATACACCTCAGCTTTATTTCTGCTGATTCAGCACTGTCATAGTTCACTACAGTACCTAATATTAACTCGTCGACATATAGTCGAGACGTAAATTTATATTTTTTACATAGAGCGCTATTTTTAATATTATGCCCGAGTCATTTTCACACTGTGCACAAACTGTTAAAATCCTTTTAATGTAACAGACACGCTTCAAGAACCACATTGCATTAGTTTCTTCTAGTGTTTTAGTGTTTCTTCGACATAATTTATTTTCCAAACTACTAAAAGTTTTATACTTGTAAAGAATATTTTGCCTGGCAAAATTGTACAGAAATATTAGTCATAATCGTTTCATATTGTAAAATAACTGTATCAAATGTAAACCCTGTGTTACCATGATTTGTATGAATATTGATTTACAATAATTTAAATGAAAATGCTATGTACACATTCAGAGTAATTTATTTACTTTATAGTTTTTGAATAAAATTAAATTATTGTAATTAGAGATATCATGGCATTTTGTCTAGGCAGCGACCACTCCAGTTTTGAGATGGTAAAACAGCAAAAGCAAAAAAAAAGTATGATTAAATCATTCATAGCGGGTAAACAAATGAAGGATGATTATAAAGTTCGTTAAAGTATCATTTTGGCAACTAGTGACACAATGCCATATAATTTACAGTGAAGAATCCATGAACATATTTATGATTGTAATGAAATTCTCCTTCAGTTCAAGACTTTTCAAAACTGGATTGAAGTTGCCTAGAAGTTGTTGTTTGTCTACAGTCATTTTACAGTATTTTATATTAAGTTATGATCAAAATATATTTCATTATTGTAATATATAATGTAAGAAATATATTTTACTTTCTTTATGTTGAAATGTATATATAATTATTTCCCATGCCAGAAAATGGGTCCAAAGATTGGGCCTAGAATGGACTGATAAGAATAACAATTCTGTGTAAAGTATATTTAAATTAATTTCTATCAGTGTTACTTTTGTGTGAATTTTTATTAAATCTAGTTTAGTGAAATTAAATATAATTTCAGCCATAGTAATATGTTAACTATATATTGTATATTTAAAATCTAAAAAATTTACGGGGTTTTGTTTTTTAGAACCATAATTTAAATCACATTCATAAAAACAGATACCTGTGGAATATTTTACATCAATTTGAAATAGTGAATGTTTTTCTTTTTAGAAAACTAAATTTCTGTGTTGCTGTATTTTTCAAAATTGTGGTATAATAAAGATGTCATTTACATAAGAATAATTTTTAATTTAAATAAAATTCTTTTGTAAAATCGTTATTATATTTTTTTAATACCTTTTACCTTTTATAAAACATATAAATCAGGAAACATTCCTAAGGAATTGTAGGCATTAAACCACCAGGAAAATCTTCATCTCTAAAACGGTGTTTACACAAGGTCAGTAGGCAGGCAGGGTACCTGCCTCTAGTGTATTTCAAGTTACCTGAGGCAGGTAACCTGCCATCCAACTTGCTTTCTGTACAGTTCGGCCAAAACTTCTGTGCGCGTGGATGGGTCGCTACTAGCTGAACTAAAACATACGGCTATTGGCAGTGCTGGGGGTAGTCGTGAGTGAGTAGCAAGACAAAAATGTTTTCAGAAAAGTGCCCCCGCCACCCCCTCACCTAGACCCAACCAGATCTGGTCATGTGCACAGAAACTTTGGCCGAACTGTAAACGGGGCTTTAGGATTTACACTCAGACATCTTCATAGGTTAAATAACAAACACTCAACTTTGTGACAAAAGAGCTTATGAAGATTAATAGATCCACGGCCAAAGTGAACACTACACTATTCACTTACATTATATTACAACTACTGTAAACTGTAATATACTAATAACTAGTAACGTGCCCAGTGTGCCTTATGTTAAGTCCGCCACTGGGTAGATGTGTTATACTATAGCATACTGTAAATTAAAAGAACCAAATGTTCTTAAACCATGTCCTCTCTCATTGCAAACGCAAAGCAAGAGTATAACTGCAATAATAAGCATTTTATACTCTGCTAGTTCTTCAAAAGGATAACATGAGGTTTTTAAAAGCCACTGGGGCAGAGCCCAAGGGACTTATTCAAAAATTTAAGGCCAGTTTGCGAATCTATGTGACACGCTCTTTCCAATGAAACGTGAATGGTCAAAATCGATTAAGAAATGGCGAAAGAGTTCAAAGGACAAATTTCGTGTTGGCGTATTAATTATATACAGTAGAATATTTTCCTTACAATTAATTCTTGTATATTCTTAAAACGTAAAAAATACTGTTAAATTAACTATAGAAATAACTATAGAATTAACTTTTTACTGAACGGCCAACAATTTAAGGCAGAGACAATGAGTTAAGATATGTATTCATAATATTACTTTTTTACTAATTTGATGCTTATTGACACATTGATTTCAAACAATTGAGAAACAAAGAAATGTAGAAATGAAATGTGTAATATGTAGTACATTTCATTACTAGGACCAAGAGTGGCATTTTCCGGCGCACGCTCAAGTTTCACGGGTGACGAACACAGGAAAACCAAATTTCACAAGTGAGAGTCATTTTCACGTACGAGGCTAAGTCGAGGACAGGAATAATGGAGCAAGTGTCTGAAAATAGCTTTCGGTACGAGTTTTGAACGATGCAAAAATACACACATACAGAATAACATATCTCAATCATATTAAAAAAGAGTTTTTCACCACACTATGATGTTTTTGGCTGTATTACATACGTTAATTGGTGGCTGAAAGATACGTTTTGCTGGCCATGCCAGCTGTCATCGTAATTTGGGGACCGAGCAGGTTTTAACAGCCCGGGGCCGCAAAATCAGCTGTCCGCTTACTTACTTAAAACATGAATGCATTTTAAATACACAATCAAAATCCATAGTATTGCAATAGAATTGTGTTATTGTCACCATTGCCTAGCAACTATTTATTTTTATTTTTGCTGTTTCCTCAAATTATTTCTTTACACAACTTTAAAGTTGTAGTTGTGTTTACTATCAGTGTGCATTATTATAGTGGTGAATAGTAGTAATAGGGTATAGTGTGGTGAAAAATAGCGTTCGTACCACGGACCGAAATGGTTTTGCAGCTCTCGATCGATTTAAGTTCTCGACTTCGTCTCGAACTTAAAAACGAGCCGGCACTTATCTCGAGCCGGCAAAACCTCATTTTCGGCCCTAGGTACGAAATATACTATTACGCCACTTTTGATCATTGAAAATACACTTCACAACGTACATATATGGTTTCTTGATAGATTTTTTAGATAAATATATAAAAAATACATCTTATCTTAATTTAATTGACTTGACATTTTGTAATTTGTCCAATTTCTAAACTTTCTGTATTCCTCTTCTTGTCTTTCCCGTTATTTATCTGGTGGAAGGTGATTAGTTACCTCTGATGCTGTTTTCATCAAATCATCAGTTATGTTAGACTTTGAGCAATTTCAAACATAGACTATTCTAAAACACAGCAAAACAAACTAATGCCGGTTTCTGTAGGCTATACATTTAGATTGTGCAGCAATGAAAACAGATGATTTGAATCATTAAAATAAACCTAACAAAACACTAGCACGCGTAGTGGATAAATTGAGAGCAAGGGAAAATCAGTTTATGTTTTTTTATCAAAATTATAATAAAGTGTGAGTCTAAATACTGTACTTTTTCAACTTAATTACTATCTGGGATCTGCATCTGAAAGGTGTTTTTTAGTAAGCTGAACTAAAAACCACATTCTAGACTGCTTCACACCCTCCCCTTAATCGTCCCTATTTCCTAATGATCATCTTTGTTAAACTTGAAACACCTACAGTATGGATTTTACCACTGAAAAATCTAAAAAAAAGGAGTTAGGCCTAATTTACGATCAAAAAGTTTGCAACTCATACAAATGAGATTAATTTTTGCTAGTCCTCAATAGGCTATTGATCACTTTGGAGTAAACTGTCAAGATTATATGTCTATTTAATTTATTCGCTAAAACACCGCAAAACCATGTTGTTTAGGTTGTCATTTATGATGTTGTATAGGCCTACTATATCGTTAACATTTTGCTTGAACCATGTTTGAAGGCCTGATGGGGCTCATTCTAGATGCAGCACTATGTTGCTTCTGATTGAGTTATAACGAAACTAAACTTTGAATTTTTTTCTTACTCAAACATGGACTTCAATTGTAGTAAGAGTAGGCCTACAGCAAATGCAAGCTAAAAAGTGAGGGAATTGGGTCACACAAGCCACAAGCCCTAGCTTTGAGAAAATTCAACAAGATTAATAAAACCAGAGATTCAGGGGAAAGCCAGTCACAAATGGTGAAGTAAAATGTTCAAATATATATTTACAAACAAGATTCAATCAAGGTATTCCCGTTGATGATTGATGTTCCTGCAACAATTATCTGAGCTCCAGTAAGCTTTTCAAGCAAGTAGAAAGCTGCGATTTCTGAGTAAGTGACTCCACCAACAAAATATACAAGAAATGTTCTTGGCGCTACGTCGCATGGTCGCTCCATGGTTACTTTCGCATTAGGCACCATTTTGGCCACTTCTTCTGGCATGACTTCACGTTTTATAAGCATTTGAACAATTTGGCACACAAGTGGAATGTAGGCACCGTTAAAAACGTAGCTCATATCTTTTGGGTTTTTCAGATCATAATCATCTTTGGCAGGAGGGAAAAGTTTCATTTTTTGAGCGAGAGAGTAAAAGACACTTCTTCGGGTTGGGAGGGAGACTGCATGAACTACTTTGTTTGCAATGGCTCCACCAGTGACGTCATTTGAGATCAATGAGGTCTGTTGTGTCAGAAGGCCTAGTCTGTCTAGATTGTGAAAACTGCTCAGATGTTTGTAGCCATGAGCATGCAAATATTGGATTTTCAAACTATGGATTTCGTCTGCTGTTAGGCCGTCTTGGGTAACTGATTGTAAACACAAAAGTCTCAATGGACTAAGCTTGCCTCCTAGCTTCATTGCAATACAGTCCTCAATATAAGACATGTTTTCTTTTCTGCCACGGCCTTCAAGCATTCGTTGCTCTGCTGATTGAGTACTTTCAAATCTTGCTCCCATTTTCCCAATTATGCCTTCACACGCACTGATGTGGTAAACTAAACTACTTTTGAGCGCTAGTGCATTGGGAAGTTCCTGAGTTATGTTACGTTTAAGGTCTTTCAAATTCATACTGGCTGTTGGCTTGAACTCTTGTAAATTTTTGGCTATTTTACTTAAAAACCCAAATACGTCAGAAAAATGCTTGTGTTTTATCTGACCATAAATTTCCTCAGCGCTATTGAGTAATCGTCCAGTTGTTTTGTTTTTTTCGGTATCAAGATTAAAGTTTAAAACGCCACTTTTGATACCAAAAACTTCATCCAGTAGGCTTGTGTAAGTGCCCGGAGTCAAAAGCACACTAGGGTAATCTAAATCTCTATCAATAATAAGGAAACAAGAAATTTCCGACTTATCCTTTTCAGGCTGACCATATGTCTCATGTAAAATCCTCACCTGATGATCGATAATAGTAGAGTATTTACCTTGAACAAAAGTCATCGCTGGCTTTCCATAAAGCATTTGGAGACTCCAGATTGATCTTGCAACACTTGGTAGAAACAGCTGATCTTGATCTAAAAAGGTCTTTCTGTAAAAACTATCCAGCTGAAAGGACAGTATACTGGCATCAAACTGAATCATTTCCCACTGATAACTGTAGAGTGTCACGTGGCCCAACACACCTTCTTCTTCCATCAAACTTGATATTGAAATGAGTTTTTGTGGGATCAAGATTATGTGATAGCTAGGGTTATTGGTGCTCCTCAACCTAGCATTGATTTGGTCACAAATATGTTTAGCGGTTATGAGGTCCGATTGAACAAAGTAAACAACTTGACTGTTAGTTGTAGGTATGTCACTTGAGAAGTCAAGTTTGAATATTTTGTCCACTCCATGAAACCTAAAACAAAGGAAAAAAGTGTTATTTTCTTTGTTAATAAAGGACCAATGTTTTAAAGACTAATATTTATTCTGAGAGAGTGAAGTTCATGAAGATATGCTTGTTAATTAAGTAAAATTTGTTTATATGGACCCATTTTCCCACCACCTTACAAGTCATAATTTTGATAAGAAAGTTCACAGGGTTGAACCCTGTTAAACCCCCCCCCTGGGTTAAATTAAGTGACCAGAATTGATAATTAACTGAAAAAGAAGTGATTTTCCATCAACTGAAAAATATGTTTTCGCCACGGCTGATGCAGAATTCAACCATGTTTTTGTTACCGTTTTCAGTAACTTCTAGTTTAGTAGGATCCATTTTATTATTTTTTTGAATGTATTACTATAGACTCTCGTATTTGTTTAAATCAAATTAGGGGTTTCCTTTCTAATATTCAATTAATAAAGGTGTTTGTCTTTTTTAATATCTAGTAGATGTAGGTAATAGCATCGAACAAATTTTTAATACTTTGGATATTGCCTAACAATGGTTTACAAGAACTCTTCCCCCGATCACAGATCAACAGTCTATCCGGGGGAATAATTCCATGTAATATATTGTTCTATTATTGTACTGTTTAATTTTTGGAATAAATGTATTTTGATTTGATTTGATAAGAGTTGACCCAAAAAGAAAGGATCGAAACTACAGCGTATGTGCTACCAAGGGTCGTAGAAAAGTCAACTATGGCTAATTTTAAAGCTGGCATCTTAAAGTTTTTTTAAGTTCACTTCAATAGTTAAATCTGTGGGTCCATTGCTGTTAGCACTTTGAATTTTTAGGCCTACATAAAGGTGCAAAATGGAAGTGCAGTTGAAACCGCATAGGCCCTAGTGCATTGAATGGTTACATAGACAAAATCTATATTATTTATGTTGAAAATGCCTGCCTTAGTTATTTGTAATAGTCATAATACAGATGATATGAATGTTGTTTTTACTATCAGCTGTCTGTTTTGTTGTCCAATATTGTTCCTTGTCATGAAAACATTAATGAGAAATACATTTGATTATTTTATAGTTTAAATTCGTTTTTCGTCGTAATTTTACTTAGATTATCCCTAAACACCTCCACTTGGGAGAATAATTCAAGAATTTATATTTATACATCACCAGAAACAAGATTTCTAGCTGAAAATAACAGTGCAAAAAATTTTCCGGACTAACAAATATTGACGAAACTACAGTCGTGTAAAATTTTGTTTACTTTTGTAAATCTACTACCTAAGTTATCTATTTGTTACCGGTACTATATTTCCTCACCAAAACTTCATATAGGCTAACAGCTACCTATCAAAATTTTGTTTTTTCTAAGTGATTTAAAGTAAATATTAGACTCATTTTTAACCTGAAAACAACGGTGCCAAAGTTTTTCCGAAGAGACATATATTAACTGAACTATGGTTGTTTGAAGCTTTGATTTCTTTTGATTTATATTCTCATCAGCTTGCTCCATTACGGTGAACTAAAACCGAAATGAAAATATGAAAACTGATGAGGAGAAAAGAAGAGATAGGCTAGTAAGTAAGTTACCTAATGCAAAGGAATTAAAAGAACAAATGTTACAAATGATCAAAGGTATCTAACACACAACTGAGCAGGCCCACTGAAAATTGCAGACTAAAATATAGGTTTCACTGGTATCAGTAAGCGTAACGGAAAGGCAGATCAGGCTTTATCTGGATTTTTCACTGAGCTATAATTCTAACTGGGAGGTAGCACTGAATGTCAAAGATGCGTGTCGCCAGCCGCCATGTTTGCGTGAGTCTGGTGTCATAAGAAGCCATATTATTGCTATAACTATTATTATACTTGGCTTAAAATACCTACTTTGTATGGTCGCCATTTCAAAGAAAATTATTAAAGTATTAAAAGTATTCAAGTATGACAAAAATACTCACTGCTATACCAACCTAGTTATAAGAAGCCATGTCATTGCTATGATAAGAAAACTTACTGCTATACCAACCTAACAAAATCAGCGACACGCTTTTGACAGACTTCTGCCATGGCAGTGCTACCTCCAGTTATAATTTTAGCTCAGTGGGATTTTTGTCTGTTGAGTGTTTTGAAGTTAGGTTAGATTAGGAAGGTAGCTTAGGTTATATTGAACTGAGTGGACAACTTATATTAGGTACATCCAGGCTGTTTTGTGCTATGATAGTGGCTTGAACACAACAAATTAACACTTTAAAAAATGCTTGCATTTTTACGGTAATGGAAATGATTAACTTACCCCGACTTATTTTTTTGGGTGCACTTTACTTGACGTCCTACACTCATTCGAATGGAAATATCGATTAATCGATTGCTTCATTCGATATATCGTTTGGTTAGTTAGGTAAGGTTAACTAACCAAACGATATATCGCATGAAACAATCGAATGAAAATATCGAATCGAAAAAAACAATCGAATGAGTGTAGGACGTCAAGTAAAGTGCAGCCATTTATTTATTTGTTTACGGTTACACCATTTTTCAGATTTGACATGCTGATATTACAAATACAATATTGAAAAATTGAAAGTTAATTAACAAAAAGTAATAACGAATGCAAGTGAAATATTGAATGGTATGAAAGGAGCATAACCACTTGCCTAATTGACTTTCTTCAAGCAAATAAGTTAATGGAAAACATGTAACTTAGAGGTTGGGTTACCTAGGTACTCTAGTAATACCGGTACCGGTAATCTATTATTCCACCCAACCTGCACTAGGGTTCTAACAAGTACAGCTTCATAAGTACAGCACAAGACAAAAAAATAGTATCCATATCAACCATCGCAGAACTACACTAGCACAGACTAGCCCTCAATACTCAGGAAGCAAAATTTTCAATAAATTACCACAAGAAATAAGACTTTGTGAAGATCAAGCTAAATTCAAGAAAATGCTGAAGATGTTTCTATTAAATAAAGCCTATTATTCAGTAGAAGAATTCCTTGAAGAGTGAAGGCTGACAACTACCAATGACGACCACGGCTGAAAAGCTTCCAGTGGGATAAATACAAGTATGCAAGTAAGTAAGTAACTTAGGCTATACAAGTTTTCTATTGTACCTAAGTGTTATACAACTCCATGTTGAGTGTTTAGAATTATTTTGCTCAAAGTATAAGACAAATTGATTTATATTGTAAGGAGTGTCACAAGCTGATCTTACCTTAGCTGAGAAACTCCTATGATCCTTTCAAGTGGCTTGATCAATTTATGATCAATAATGAAGTCTTTTAAACCAGGAATTTTGTTCAACAATTCTCCCAATCGCTTTTGCGATATTCTATTAAGAGCACTTGCTCTAGTTTCCAGTGAACAATGCATTATTGTAGGTCTAGAGACTAAATAAGCATTGATGAAGTAGGCCTAAATGTAGAAATCTTATCAATTGTTTTCCCTACACTTCTGTTGGGACATTAAAAAAGACTTGCATTTCAAATAACTAGGCCTAGTAAAATTGTCAGTAACACTCATTACCGACTTTATAAATAAAAATATAATTAAGTTTAAATAACCTAAAAACTAAATGACAACTAACTGAACGCTGAACCGCTGAAAGTTTTGGTTATGTTTTGACACATTTACTTTAGTTTTAGTTACTCCATATGTGCATGAATCTCAATCGAATTATAGTAGAGGACTGTAAAGCTGTTAAAACTTTTTATGATTAAGCCATAGATTAAAGATACTCCCTTCCAGATTAAACAGACGAAATCACTTAATTATTATGAAGTACTGTTTGTTTTCTGTCAAACTTAAATTTAGCTTTCTTATTTTTTCTAGATATCCACGCTGGTGGAATATTTACTTGAGACGATGCTCAAGTAAGTATTCAAATGTTTTTTTTTTATTTTAAATAAGGAAATCGGTAAAAACCACGGCTGCATTTAACTCCAGGCCGCGGCCTGGTAGAATTTGCAACGTTGCAAGTGGTGTCCTCTAGAGCTAGACGTCCCATAAGATAACCTGGCAGACAGGCGAGACAGGTTACACCAGCTCATTAATTTGCGTATTATTAATTTAAATTTAAATTTAAGAACATAAATTTATTATAAGATCGAAAATAAAATATATTGAATTGAAAACCAAAATAATGTTTAAATTGAAAATCTATTTTTGTACATTAAATTGGAGTAAATATTTTCATAGCCCAGTAAACAAGCTTTTGTTTTCTTAAAAAATGCACAAATTACCATTAGCCGCCTAAAAAAAAACAGCTGTTAGAACCATACTTGCGATGTTGCCGATTCGAAGGTCGCGGCTTGTAGTTAAAGGTGGCCGTGTCAAAACCCATAATGTGTTATGGATGGTTTTATTATGAAATATTTATAATCACTAATTAATTAGAAACGTTTACCTTTTACCAAAAAGAATACCATGGTGGAAGGAAAATAAATAATACAATCAATAAGTCATTTATTACACCAGATCAACATATGCATGCATTAGCCAAGTCAATTTACTGTAATACTTAATTGAAACAGTACACTTAAAAGTTCCATTCTTGAAAATAAGCAATACCTGTTGTGATTTTTCTAGAGGGTGTTTAATTTATTCTAGTTTGGGATCGAGATTGTGCGTACAACCACGGCCACCTTTAACTACAGGCCGGGGCCTTCGAAGTGGCAACATCGCAAGTAGGGTTCTAACAGCTGTTTTTTTAGGCGGCTAATGATAATTTGGGTATTTACTCAGGGGAGGTATAGAAGAGGCTACGATGACAGCTGTGGGCTTCTTATTAGCTGAGGGAACGCCATTACCGTAACAAAACGATCATTAGTCATCGGCCTCGGTGGTCTAATGGTTAGCGTGCCGGGCTGATATGCTGAAGATCCCGGGTTCAATTCCCGCTCGTGGCATAAACTTTTTGTCCAAAATTTTTTTATTATCAGCAAGTTTGGTTGGTTTGGTTCGGTTATGACAGTTTAATTTTATTATTAAGTCATTATAAAATTTTAGTAGAGCAATTTCTAGTTTTATTTAATAAACAGAATTATTTTTTCTATTAATAAACTTTTGTTATATTATTTCATTATCAGCAAGTTTGGTTAGTTCGGTTAGGTTATGATAGTTTAATTTTATAATAAAAAAATAATAAAATTGAATTTGAGGCATTTATAATTTTATTTTATGAACAGAACTATTTTTGCGATTAGTAAACCTTCTTTGCCAAAGTACTCTCTACTATACAGCGCTGTCCACGGACGAATTTTGAACTAATGCCTCATTCGTACCTCCCCTAAGTCAGACCCGATAATTTGTGTATTTTTCAAGAAAACAAAAGCTTGTTAACTGGGCTATGAAAATATTGACTCCATTTTAATGTACAAAAAATAATTTCAATTTAAACATTGTTTTGGTTTCCAATTCTATATAATTTTATATTACATTTTATTTTATAGTATGGTTCTAACAGCTGTTTTTTTTTAGGCGGCTAATGGTAATTTGTGCATTTTTTAAGAAAACAAAAGCTTGTTTACTGGGCTATGAAAATATTTACTCCAATTTAATGTACAAAAATAGATTTTCAATTTAAACATTATTTTGGTTTTCAATTCAATATATTTTATTTTCGATCTTATAATAAATTTATGTTCTTAAATTTAAATTTAAATTAATAATACGCAAATTAATGAGCTGGTGTAACCTGTCTCGCCTGTCTGCCAGGTTATCTTATGGGACGTCTAGCTCTAGAGGACACCACTTGCAACGTTGCAAATTCTACCAGGCCGCGGCCTGGAGTTAAATGCAGCCGTGGTTTTTACCGATTTCCTTATTTAAAATATAAAAAAAACATTTGAATACTTACTTGAGCATCGTCTCAAGTAAATATTCCACCAGCGTGGATATCTAGAAATGTATGTTCATAAATTTAAATTTAAATGAATCATACGCGAATTAATGAGCTGGTGTCACCTGTCTGCCAGGTTCTCATGGGACGTCTAGCGCTTGACAACACCACTTGCAACATTGCCTTCAAAGTGGCAACATCGCAAGTAGGGTTGTAACAACCGGCCGCCTTCAACTCCAGGCCGCGACTTTCGAAGTGGCAACGTCGCAAGTGGTGTTGTAACAGCTGTTTTGTTTGGAAGCAGCTAATGGTATTTGTGTTTTTACGAAATATTGGTTACTGGACTATCACAATATTGACTCCGCTTAAAATGTACAGATATAGTTTTTTAATTCATATTGTTTCGGTTTTGAATTCTGTATGTTTTATTTTCTATATTTTAGTCAATTTAGGTTCATAAATATAAATTTAAATCAACAAAGTGAGAAATAATGAACTGATGTCACCTGTCTGCCATGTTATCTTATGGGACGTCTGTCACAATACAACTATCCACTAAGTCTTGTGACGTTGCCAATTCTACCAGGCCGAGGCCTGTAATTAAAGGCGGCCGTGGTTGTAACAGCCGTTTTTTGGAGGCAGCTAAATGAAATGAAATGAAATTATTTATTGTCGATAAAACTATGTACAAAGTTAATGACCGCCTTCTTTTGTAAAGTAAAGAGCATCCTGTTAGCATAAAAACTCTTGGCCCACAGTGAGGTACCATAGGACAAATAGCTATGAATGTGGCCATAATATATACAAATAAGGACATCAACTGAAACAGTGGACCTAAGTGCTCTTATCATAAATATGCCTTTTACAATCTTAGAAGCTACAAAATCTACATGTGAAAACCACTTCAAGTTTGACTGCAAGTGAAAACCCAAAAACATCAGGGTGTTTACATCATTACCATTACTGCTAAGACTAATAGTTAGGTCTTGAGTCTTATCAGCATTAAGACATAACTTGTTTGCATTACACCAGTCATTAATAACAGCAGATTTTGTATCCAATGTATCTGTAACGTCATTCAAAGAGTTACCCCGTACACACAAGGCCAAGTCATCAGCAAAAAGAAAGCTTTTTACAGATAAGTCATTAATATTACAAGGTAAGTCATTTATATACAGTATAAACAGGGTAGGGCCCAATATAGATAGCTAATGGTATTTGTGTACATATTTTACGAAAGCTTGGTTACTGAGTTATGAAAATATTGAACTCACTTTAAATGTACAAAAATAGATTTTTAATTTAAATATGGTTTTGGTTTTCAATTCTATATGTTTTATTTCAATATAATAAAACGTTGTTCGTAAATTTAAATTTAAATGAAAACTCTAATGAGCTGGTGTCATCTATCTGTCATGTTATCTTATGGGATGTTTGGCGCTAGACAACACCACTTGCAACGTTGCCAATTCTACCAGGCCGCGGCCTGTACAACCTTACAACTGAAATCTGGATTCAATTTCCTAAACATGTACATGTACCTAGGGGCAGAAAAAAGGCACGTAGCTATTCCTCTTTCCTGTTAGGAGTGGTAGGACCATTGTAGGACTGTTGTTATTTTCTGCTTCTCTTCTCCTGTAAAGTCCGTCTGCTTCTGCTCTAGCTTCGTGCTAGCTATCATATGCTTGGGGCCTTGCTTGGGTGAGGTGAACTTTATTTTGTTCTTAATTTTTTCGTTTATTTATGCTATCTCTGTAATCACTAATCAGTGTTGTCTAATCCATACGAATTGTTTGTTTGTAGTACAAAATTGGTGTAACATGGAATAATGATCAAACATTTGCTTGATCTGGACTTCATTAGTATTCAAATGAAATAGTGTGTATAGCAAATTTTTCAATTTCAAAGGGGTAAGTTTTTGCCTGTACATAGACTATGGTAATGGTTATCTTTATTGTTTGATTAGCTGACCTTTTACCCTTTAAGCCTCAGGATTTTTAATTGGTTTATTATTCTACAGTAATAATGTTTTATAACGCCCATCCCAGCATGAAATTAATAGTTATAAAATAGGGCTAGGCTAGGTTTTTGTTGTCTGGACACTCACAGTAACTTAGGTTAGATGTAGAGATACCTACACAGTGTAGGCCTACCTAGGCTTAGCAAATTTACTGATTCAGTTGAACTCGCACAGAAACCATGCATCATAAGGTTCCATCCGAACTGTTCACTCCTTATTTTAGGTAGGATTCTATCGCTTACTGTAGCTCTCTCTGTTAGACAGTCAAGATTAGCCTAACTAAGTATGTTTGGTGCTTAAACTGAAAACTTGTGTCAGTGAAGATGTTGCTTATGACCTACTCTGGTCTAGCCTATTTAACTCTCATCTATTTTAGGTCATGGAATACGGCTCTGGGGAATTCACCCTCTCATGTACATGCTTTCATATGACAAAAGAAGGCGCTTATATAGGCTAGTTATGGCTGGGCTACAATTTTCCCACAATAAATTTTTAGGGTCACAGAAGTCACCGAACGTCACATATTTTCCAACTAAGGTCACATAAAAATTTATATCTGGATGGGAAATACGAGCAAACTAGCAGGGAGGCTTCAGCTTTCCACAACCATATTCTGCGTCTTAATATTTAGTTAATATCATTCTATGGAAAATATCATTATGTTCGTTGTCACAATACGTACTGTATTGACTATTAATACAACTAGACATTCCGTACGCATCTTGAAGTTGTTGCTAGTTTAAAAAAATCATAATCGTCGTAGTTGATCTGAGCCACCGACAGATTGTGCTGATCTAAATTACAAATTTCTGTTGGACACAAACTTTTGTACTAAGTTAAACTAATGGAATGACGTACTGTGAGCTACACAGCTACTATCATGACCCATCAACATGGTCGGCAACAAAAAATAAATGAGAAAATTGAACTTAAGACACTGGCGCATTCTGTGACCGGGTCACATAACTAAGTTCTTTTTTGATCAAAAATTTGCGACAGCTGGTCCATAACTTATAGATTGGATGTCTACGTTCCAGTATCCAATAGTAACTTAAATGTTTGTAACACACAAGTATCGCTGGTTTGAATTAGTTGTCAAGTTTAAAAGATTTATGTTCAAAGATTTATTTTATATTTAAGAATTTAAGTACCGTAGGCCTACTAGTAGTTGCTATATTTCAATTTTCTTCTAAAACCAAATACCACACCGTACGCATTTTGAGGTCACAGATAATTATTTGATTATAATTATTTGAATCCATAGTTAATCAAATCAGTAATTGTCTTCTGAATGGTTTTGAATTGGCCTATCTAAGCGGTGTCTTCCATTTTGCGGTCAGTCCATTTACCGGTCAGTCCATTTACCGGTCAAGTGAGGAGGCTCTAGGGGGGGGAGGTTTTCCATTTTGCGGTCAGGTTTCAATTCCTAGAATACCTGACTATTTTAAATGAATAGGTTCCATGCACATAGAGCAGCAACAGTTCTTGATTGTTTGCAGATGTCGAGTTTTAGATCTTCACGAGAAGTTGTGGACGGAGCTACTTTTATATTAACAGACAGATTCTTCTCAAATCACAAATCATGTCTGATTATATTATAAATGGTCGTTTATTTCAACAAACTATTCTATATACAAACAAGTAGGCTATATACACATCAGTTAATTCCATCATATCACTTAATTAATACCCCCGCCGCAGCAAACCTGCAGACTTAGCGAATTTCCATTTGCCTCATTGGATTTACACTAAAATGTCTCCTTAAATATATCACATTTATTCCCTATTTAAATAGAATTAGTTTAACGAGTACTTAGGTTTGCTGCAACAGGGAGGGTAAAAAAGTGTTTTTAATGTAAAATGTTAATAGGTACTGTAGTTTAGTGAGAAATTAATGTATTTTCCAAATTTGAGCAAAATATGTTCATAAATAAGCAAACTACAACAGTTGACTTATTCTCCATAAGAATAACATGGGAATTTTAAAATTACAATTTTTTTTAAATTTTCTCCGTAACAATTAGGCGCATAATAATGCTTCAATATACTAAATTATTTGTTTTTTTAAGCTCTACAAAATGGTTTAAAAAGAAATTGTGAAATTTTGTGTTTTTAGGGTCAAAAATGGGAAAAACCTATTTTTACCCCATAAAACCCCCCATAAACCCCCGTTCCCATAGTCCGATCATGCTGGTTCGCGAACTCACTCATGTTTATCCCGCCTTACACCTTCAAACCAAATTTTATCAAAATCGGACAAAAATTACTCAAGTTATCGTGCGGATGGACACACATATATATATATATATTATATATATATATTATATATATATATATATATATATAATATATTAAGAAAACTGTAGTGATTAGGGCTACTATTTTGATATATAAATGCATTATTAAAAACTAAGTAGGCCTACCTAGGTACCCTTTTTTTTAATTCATTTTATTTAACAACTTATTATAACTTATTATTTATAAACAAATAAATAAATAATAAATAAAATGAATTAAAAAAGGGTACTTAGTTTTTAATATTGCATTTATATATATATATGCACCTGTTGCTCGAATTCGAGCAATTGCAAAGTATTAAAGGCATTATTTCAAAACGTTTAACAGTAAAAATTTCCGATGACATAAAAGAGTCAACTCAAATATAATGTAATCAATCACTCCACTCCAGTTATCGAAACTGAAAACAAACTCATTCTGAAAACGAACGTTCTTAAATGTATCATGTGTTTACTATGAAAAGCTGTAATTACAGTACCCAAATTATTTGTCTGTTTAGTAAACAAAATATTTTCTTCATAAGAAATACATTGGGGTTTTGATGGCCTGTGGGGCAAAGACCGAGGACTTTTATTACAGGAATTGGTGAAAGGGGGCATCTACACAAAAAATACTTAATTTTGACACATCGTTTGTAAAAAACCGACCTTTATTAACGAAGGAGTAGTGTATCGTAGAAATGGCCTTCACGTATTGTATATAGGTAAGGATTCCATATTAAACTCTCTGATGCTATTATGTATTTAGTTTCTTTTTCAGAACTTTTTTTTAAATTTTTTTAACAGAGGGCCAGGCTTACAATTCACCATGGGATTGCATCGCAGCTAGAACAGCTTATTGTGCACCCTCGTTCACAGGTCCTCATTCTCCGTCAAATCCCAGGTCCTTGGTGAACCGTGAGAGCCTTTTGACTATGGTAACCTGTTCTTCCCTTTGATCTCCCATCAATAGGCCAAGGGATCTCATACGCAGACCTTGTAGGGCTGGGCACATAAATATACCTTCACAGCTTTCACAAGGTCTCTGGCTGGGGCAAGCCGTAGCGAGATTTCCCTGAAAGGACTCAGCTCCTGAACTTGCTTGACCAGCCAATCCTTTGTGGCTGCGTTAGCACAGCCTCCACCTTTCTTCCTGGAGGCTTCATTAGAGTCAGCTTTGGGGGTACCACCCTTGCCCTGCTTTTTCCCAGCATCCTAGTTCCCGGAGGAACTGGCTTTGCAGGGAGCAGAGTTAGGGTGTTTGGCAGCCCACACCAGCCTCCTCTCACTTCTGGATAGCACCTTTTCGCCTTTGGCTAAAGCATCCGCTATCCTCCATCTTTGCAACTCGCCCCTGGAAAGTCGTTTTTCGTCCCTTTCCGGTTTCTGCGAGCTTGTCATCATTGTCAGATTTCAGTAGATCTTCCTCCTACATTTGGGTCAGATTTTCCACATTGTTCTCACGAATACCGGGTATCTAAGTCCACCTGCCCAGTGACCCGATTAGAGAGGTAAGGGGTGCGTACGACTGGGTTATCCCTGATTCCCAGAAGGCTCCGTTAAGACACTGAATATTAGGCCCCCAGTGCCACAAGACTCTTGGCACGGATCGCATTACACCTTAGTCTAGGGCCCCCCTCACTTGGTTCTGTAGGTGGACCAACACCCAGTGACAGAAGGTAGCTCTCCGCAGTGAGAGTTGGGGTTTAGGTTGTGGAGTTGTGGCCAATCTGCCGAACCAACCCCGCATGCGAGGTTTGGCCGGAACGGTGCGAAATTTTCTCCCACTCACTGAACCCCCATACCTTCCTTTTCAGAACTTGGTGTTTTAGCTTTGGGCGGATAAAATTATTCCGCACAAGTAGTTTCTGTGTGCAGGCCATCCAGTATTAATAGTGTACGGTTTTAATGGCATTCCATTTGTTTAAGGAATCGTTGTTTATAATGATGGCATAAACTTTATGTAAAATAGTTAATCAATTCAATTTTAAGTATTTTCCTTATTTTCAGATGCCTGTTATGAAGATATAAAAACCAGATCGAAATCCATCGTAAGCAGAGAATAAAAATAAGTTTCTGGTGCAACAGCCGTAAGTTAACTACATCAAGCCTATTAGACATTCAACAAATGCTATTCACCCATGACTTCCCTCTCTGAGTACTTCGAGACAGTTGATTTACAAGACGTCTTAACTTCTGAGGATATTACTGTGATAAACGATGTAACAAGTGGAGAAATAATTGACTTAGTAACACCTGATTTAACTGAAACTGAAAAATCAAACCAAAGTAATAATGTGAGAAATAACAGCTCTAGCGATTTAATCGTGGATAACACACAAGAATCAACTGACAATTATTGTAATGTTACTAGTGGTGCTATGTCTAATTCAGTAGCTCAGCAGAAAGCTGCAAGTTGTAGTTTGAACAACAGTGTTAACAGTCGCATCGGCCCATTCGCCGACTACAGACCAATCTGTGGTTGTGGAGTGGTTCAAGAGCTTACATCTCGAACTGAAGCAAGATTTTTGCTCAGTTTGTTGAATGATATGTCACAAATGAATCCTATTCAGAAAAGAATATTCAAGCAAAAGATTGTTGATTTGATTAGTGAAGTTGACTCGTTTGAGTTGACTGAGGATCGGTAAATTATAATTATTAAACAGTCATAGATACTGTGCCTTAAGCTATTTATTCAAGATATACTACTTGTTCTCGTGTTAACATGGAAGAAGTTGCTGATTTGTCTACTCTTCAAAATACAGAGGTTACAGATGAGGTTAAGGAATACATTCCCATTGTACGTAGGATGCGAAGTAGTCAATACCGGTATGTTGTAAGGAACTCAACTACCGTACCTCATAAGTTACCTTGTAATGGCAACCCTGGTGACAAGCGTAAAAAGGTAACTCTCTCTATGGAGGAAAAGTTAAGAGCTCTGCAAAGACTAGACGCTGGTGAGCCTTTAAGGATAATTGCTAAAGACCTAGGTGTAGGAAGAAGTACTGTGAGTGATTGGAAGAAACACAGACTAGAAATAGAAAGATGGTATGCTAATCAGACTGGGAATAGCTCTATTAAAGCGAGGAAAACCATGAGAAAAGGTAAACACGCTCGGGTAGAAAAGGCACTTTATCATTGGTTTGAATACAATAAAAGTAAAGGATTTCCAGTGTCTGGACAGTTGTTGCAGCAGAAAGCGCTTCACTTCAAAGAAAAAATCGATGGAGAGGAAGGAGAACAGTTCTCTGCGAGTGAAGGCTGGTTAGACAGATGGAAGAAACGATTCGGTATTGGACTACTAGTGAACGATAATGAAAATGAAAATGATTATTTTGTTGAAGAGTTGAGAAAAGACCTTGAATGTTCTAATTTGAAAGAAGAACAAATTTATTGCTGTGGTCAAACTTTGTTGAATTATAGATTGCTGCCACCAAACATTCTTGGGTCCAACAACAAAGTGACTGAGGAATATGATGTCAACGAAGAAACAATGATGTTGTTTGCATGCTGCAATGCTACAGGGGGCCACAAGTTGAGACTCACTTTTATTGTGAAATCAGATAAGTTCCAGGAATTTGAAACTGTAAAAGACAATGAACTACTGCCTTTTGGGTTTTTTCATCATAAAGAAGTTTGGTTGGATGACGATATTTTTAAAACATGGTTTCATAATGAATTTGTACCTGCTGTTGAGAAAGACCTGTTGTCAAAACAATTGGCAAGAAAAGCAGTTCTTTTGGTTACATATTACCCTGCATTCAGTTGTTTGAGTGAATTACATGATAAAGATATCAGAGTTATATTCATTCCTGTACATGCTGCTTCCTCTTGCCAACCAATGAACCAAGGTGTTTTTGAACTGTTAAAAAAAAAGTATTGGTGTCGACTCTTAAGATCAGTGATATCAACAAGAACCGATTGTGAAGACTGCATAACGACTGTGAGAAATGTTGAAATTATTGAAGCAATCCAATTTGCATCAGAAGCTTGGGAAGAAATTCCTACGGTATCTTTAATCCAATTGTGGGATCACTTGACCAACCAAAGAGAATACAAAGACTGGGCAGCTTGTGAGAGCCAAATCATCGATGTGGCAAATGACGAAAAAGAACTTGCCTCTTTATTGAAGAAAATTGTTGGCTCAGATGACATTAACATGGAGGATCTGAATGAGTGGTTGGTAAATGAAGATGAGGATGAAGTTGTTTGTGAGGATATTGTGGCAATGGTTCTAAAGGAGCCTCAACTCAATTTAGATCTTTCTGGAGACAACTCCATAAGCAATGAAGAACCTTCCACAGAAGCTATAGAAATTAAAACTGAACTTACTGTTGAGGGTGAAGACACTTGTGCTGGAAATACAGTTCCTCAAGTTGAACGTATTAGTCATTTTGAAGGCTTCAAGGCGATATCAAAGGCTTTGGATTATATTAACCAACAACAAGAAGCTACCCCAGAAGACATCACTTGGATGGTGAAATGGAGGGACAGTGCTGCCGGTAAAAGTTTACTGGAAGCTAGTCATAAGATGTCAGGGAAAAGACCAAAGCTTATTTAACATGGATTTTACAGTTAAGTATTTTAATGGCAGTTGACAAAAGTTAAGCTTCAACCTAAGTACAAATAACAGTTATTCCAATATTTAGGCTGCAGCTTTCAAATCAGCTTAACAAGGTCAATTCAATGGTTTAGCATTGGCATCATTAAATTAGGATAGGAATATAAACTTTGAAGGTTAATTTAAAGGTTCAAAAGTAGTACCTGTTAAACTCTAGTTAGGCTACAACGTCGCGACAACATTTTTTCTCACAACCTTGTGGATAGAGGTGGCCACACTAGGCAACAATTTTAACCTTTCAGTTGACTTTTTACCAGTACCTGGGGACTGAGCTTTGCCTGAGGGAATTCATTAGTATACTCTGAGAGCAATCTTTTGGTCAATGTCATTTTCCAAAACTTCTTTTGCAGTCTATTTGTAACCTGTTAAAACAGTAATAGGCTATTGTAGTTGACTTTGTTCAGGTAAACAGTAATTACCTATATTATTAATACAAACTGACCTTACATTTTTGAAAAAGTCCCTTGGGCTCTGTCCCAGTTGCTTTTTAAATTTACCATGTTATCCTTATGAAGAACGTAACCAACACACCCATTGATCTAAAAATTAAAAACAAGATACTGCATTTGATAAGTAGGCCTACAGTTAACTTTAGGCCTACAATAAGCCCTTTTGGAACTTATTGTTGAATCAAGGTAAAAAGGTGTGTAAAAATCAAATTATGTCTTAACTAACAACATTGTCAGAATGCAACACCTCACTATCTGAAATTTTTTATCGGTGTAGATCATATAAGTTAGAGGTTAATTTAATTTTGGTGCCATATATATTTGTTATATATTTCATAATACCTTTTAAGATACACAATGTAGGCAATTGGACTCCAAGACTGTTTTTTATATTTTTAAAACAGAAAACCCGGTTTGAGTTTTGTATTATTTTTGTTAAAACTTGTATTTATAACTGTTGAAAGTTGCCAATTACAAGGTTGTTACCATCCATCTCAATACAATTTCCCTGCAATTCCTTGTGTTAAGCTGCGGCCTAAACTCAACTGTGGATAAGGTTTCATGGTGTATTTTTACACCTTAATTAGTTGGTTTTTGATCTTAAGTCTTTACTTAGAAGGCTGTGGTATTACTGTCTATTATTATGTAAACCTGATCGTGTCTACTCCCTCACAATATCAAATAGGGTGTTACTGTGTTGTAAATAGTTAGGTTAAGAAGATTTACCATTATTTTATAATAAGTAAAGTACCACACAATTTATAAAATTTGTTTTTATGTAAATTGTAAAAAAAATATTTGAGTTTGTCCTTTTACTTTAAACCACGTGTACCTCAGATGTTTTATGTGTCTTTCTATTATGAATTAAAGTTTCATTTTTGTGGATTTGGTTTAATCATTTTACTTCATACTCTTATTATAGACTTAGTTTTGATAAAATATCTGTAAAACGAGCGCTAATAGTACTGAACTGTACAGTGTACATGTAGCCTATTATCCCAGTGTAAAATCTTAATCCTGTAATGATGTGTATTTTTTGTTGGTTACTTTTCGGTGCATTAATGTTCACTCTTACTTTAGGATAAATTTGACATTTGACAAATTGTGCTTTAAGTTACTTTGGTTTATCTTAAGGGCAAACAATAGTTTACAAAAACATTGTTGTATTCAGTTAAAATATTTTCAAAGATGGTAAAAAAACATGAAACATATAGTAAACACAAAAACACCCTTTAAAATAATATCTAACAGAATATTGACCTTTTTAAAATTAACAGTCCAGCCAAATCATAAGAATGATAAATCTATAAGCTATAAGGAAGTGTTCAATCTATGGCATTGCTGTAGTCACTACATAAGACTGATGGTACCCCAGGCCATTATAGAACCTTGAAGCACATGTTTCAACTTGAACAAAGAGAGAACCCACCCCCTAACCTCTTGAAGAGGGTTAGCCTCTTCTTAAGAATTTTCGATATTTCCTCCCTTTAGAATGGTAACACTCCAACGGTTTTATTACCGGTACTACATTAGTTTGTCATCAAACAAAACTAATAATGTTGAATCATCCAATCACTGAATATGGCTTTGCATTTTTGGAAAGGAAGGTTAAACACAAAACAAGTTTATTTAGAAAATAGATAATGCATTTATTGTGTTAAAAGAAATTGTTTACATGGTTTTATTTCTGTGAACAATAAGGCTTATGGTACCTCGTTAAGAAAGGCCTGCAATAAACTAAATCCAATTTTTAAACAATTAGTTTATACATTTTAGTAATCACTGATAACTCACTATTAATTAGGTTGATCTCACTTGTCAAGTTTTTCCTTTGTGCATCACATTTTTCATTTTCTTGCATTCTCTTGTTAAATTTTCATTTCATTGATTGTAATATTCTTAACCTTCATAGTAATTAATGTTTGACTTAAATGTAAAACTTCCTAAATCAATCCACATCTTAATGATAATACCAATTAAAGTTTGTGTTGTATTTTCATAATTTTATGTTTTTCTGACACAGAATTTGATTTTACATTTTTAATCTTACTATTACTTGTATATTTATTATTGATTTTACCAAGTAAGCAGTAAACATTTAGTAAAAGAAATTTTAAAACATTTATTTATGTGTAATTTTTATATACAAAATAAAATAATTGAATTAATTAATACATTAACTTATAATCTTTAAATTAGCAACATTTTCTGTGATTGCTAAAACAATTCCAGCCACAAAAAATAAATTAAGTTTAACTTCTACATCCAACAATGGTAACTTTGTTTGCTTCATGGTAACTTTGTGTAAACAATATTAACATCAACAACACTTAAACTTAATCAGCTGACCACAACAAAACTACAACATTTAACTTGAGACTCTTCAAGATTTGTACAGACACCAGCACAAAGAGAGGTACAAAGAACAGTGTCTATTGTGAACATCGGAGATAGTCAAGGTAGGGCCAGCCGTTGTCAAGAAACAGCTAAAGATCTGTGAGAAGGGCCCGGATTGTGCCAGCATCACTTCTTGCCACCTTAACAACAACAAAAGTGTTAACATTCTTGCCAACAAAACAAAAAAAGGCTGCAATCGGTGTACTTCTTGATGTGACATTAGTGTGTCACAGCAAGCTTGTTAAGGATTTCTGATCTACATGCCAATCAAAGTCATGTAAGTCATCAGGTTGCTTTACTATTGATAGTATGGGTGAAAACAGAAAATTTTTCAGGGAGCTAACCGATATGTTTTCCAAGGGTCAGAGGAAAAAGCCCCCACAATCATTTTTAATGCATCACAAGCTTTAAATCTTATGTTTGGATTGTTCAAATTATATAGATATATCTTAGAAAAAGGTGACAACATTATTATTCATTACAATTTTGGAGTAATCGAAACAATGTACAACATTTAAATGAGAATTAAAATGAAAAATATCGCTAATAAATCTTAAGTAATAGGTGGAAGTGGAAAATATATGTTCTCCATTAAAAAAGAGATTACAATCTATGCTCATCTCCTATTTTTTGAAAATGCAATCAATTTGGCTTACCTCTTTTAGTTGTTTTAAAATTGTGTTTCTATTCTATATACTGGCAATAGGCATCCTGCTAAGCGGAGCAATTCTCAACCATTATAACCATACATATAAAACATACTGAGATAACTAACAGTTAATAAATTGTAATACAAAATTTATTGTGGTTCCTGGTTAGTAAATAATTATAATATATTAATATTATTTGAGAAATGTTACCCAACAATTATTACCAAACCAACAATTATAGGTAATTTAGAATTCCTACCTCTGACTCAGTATTCTCATAAATTAACATTATCTTCTGTAGTCATTCATTGTCCAAGTTGTACGTAAATTCATTTGTTATAATGGTATATTATCCACAACTATAGGCGCAGACACTAATACATCAAATACCACTAAACTATAAATGGAAACTACTAAATAGCCTTCTCTACAAAGCTTACCTTTCTTTCCCCCTTTTTCTCCTCCTTTTGGTTTCTCTCCACCTCCTTTAGCCCCACCTCCACCTGCGGCCTTTTTCTGTAAATATATATTAAATGTATGGCTGGAAAGGTAAAAAATATTGAAAATTATTTTAAGTTCCAGTCATAATTTATCGTAATAGTATTGGTTGTTTTTTTTCACAACAAATATACATGTTTTTGATAAAGGGGTTATACAAAAATTTTGGTTTGAATAAATTTCTAACAGCATTTAGAAAGGGAATAACTGTTGTAGGAACTATATAACACAGGGCTTGTATTAAATATGCTCTGGTAACTTAAAAATCAGCTTTCATGGGAATGAGAGTCTTCTATAATTAATTGGTCAAATATGTTGTCCACTTTAATGGATTTGTTGGTTTTGTGGTTTTTTATTGACTTTAAACTGAATCAGGCATTCTATCACATGGACCGGCTGTGTCAATGACTTAAAAGAGTCAACTCAAAGATAATGTGGGCCTAATCAATCACTCCACTCCAGTTATCGAAATTGAAAACCAACTCACTCTGATAAAGAGTGCTCTTGTATGTGTGAATCATGTATTTACTATGAACAGCTGTAATTAATACAAATTATTCATATGTTTTTAGTAAACAAAATCTTTTCTTCATAAGAAATACATTGGGATTTTGATGACCTGTGGAACAAAGCCCAGGACTTGTTTTTATTACAGGAATTGGTGAAAGAGGGGGGTGGGGGTTATACACAAAAAATACCTTATTTTGACACATTGTTTGTAAAAATCCGTCCATTATTAATGGAGGAGCAGTGTTTCGTAAAAAATCGCCTTCACGTATTATGTATAGGGATAGTTCTGTGAGATAGTCATACATTGTGCTAGTGTAAATTCAATTTTCGTCCTTTTTCTTTGTTACCAATAGAAAATCGGGCATAACAGTTGCTGTAGCTTACAAGTAGCGTCCCATCAGTTTAACTTCATGAAAAAGCACTCATTTTCTACAGAAATTTGTGATTTACATCAGTGCAATCTGTCGGTGGATCTTGTCAACTACGGCCGTTTTGATGTAAAAACTGCTGGCTACAACCATGGGAATTTTTTTGGGGGGGGGGGGGTTCATCGGTTAAGTTCAGATTAAATTGTAACACCGTTCATAGTGTTTTTATAAGTTTACTCTTTTTTGACGCAATCTATCCAACTTTTGTTGGTCAAGGATGAAGGAGTCTAGTATTCAAGTATCGATAGTCGAAAGTTTTGTTCATGCCCTTATCATATTTTTAGAAGAGCCCATTAAAAGTGAAAATCTAAATAAAATAGTAATAAGGCCACTGAATAAAGAGTGGAGTGTACTTTTGTTGTTATTATGTAGCTTAAACCTTGTGCATAAGTTTTTCTTAGTTTTGACATAAGTGTACTCACCTCCTCCCCGGCAGCGGCTCCACCTCCTTTTCCTCCTAGAAACATTTTTGATTAGAACCAAAAACATAAGACGTTGAAAAGAAAAACATAACATTTTAAATCCATAAAATCATGACCATTTATCTATACTTATGTGTTATGAATGTAATTGTTATATTTGCTGATAAAACAGTCCAAATGATTATCTTACTGGCTGTCTTCTTTTAATGTTGTTGATATTTATTTTTGCCAAACACAATTAGTTAACAAATGGAATGATGAAAGCTTGCTAACATTGACTCTAGATACCTCTACTGAAAATAGAATTCTTATCCTATCGTAAAATATGGAGCCAGTTGATGTTTATTTCTTGTCAAGGTCTTTGTGAGACTTTTGTGTAAGCTAAAATTTTCCTTTTAGCGAATTTCCCATATAGGGAATAAGCTATTACCGTAGTACCCATGGTAAGACCTGGACCCGGGACCGATTTCATTTTTCATTTTGAGGTCCCTAGAGGCCAAAAACACCATCCGTTCAGATGCATATTTATGTGTGTGTGTCCGTTAGCGCGATAACTCGAGCAAAAATGATCCGATTTTGATGAAATTTGGTACAAACGTGTAAACCTACGTTTATTTAGAACCAGCATGATCGGGTTTGTATATAAAGAGACAACTAAATTTATCACCTATCAAATATTAAATCAGTTTGTATAAATTATATCATCAGTTGATGTTAATTTAATGCCAGCCAATATATTTGTTTTGTTGATTAACCAGTCAATTTATAGCCTACCTACTGTATTTTGATGATGCAGTCTTGGTACATTTGAGAGCCCAGTAAATTGGTATAATGTTGTTTGAACAAACATAAGGACAAAAAACCCATAATTTCCGCTAGTGGACAATTTGGGTACTTCTACCATAAAACTAATATTGATTTGATTGAGCGAAAGAGTTAAGTTTAAAAATCACCCTACTGCTATAGGATTGATGTTGGGCAACATGTATGTATTTTATGGATATGACAGGAATAAATCTGGATGTCATGCTATGCTGAACAATTGACTGGTAGTTCCGTGACAGAGAGAGATAGGAGAAGAGGGATATGTTTGAAACTTATTTGTTATCTACACATTCAGGAAACTGCTTTCTGTCAAATGAAAGTCACATTTAAAGCGCCTTCCATCAATATGATGCATATACTTCACTCCATATTGTCGTTTGGGGGCATTCAGTCAATTGAAGGGTATTGATTTTATAAACGTGGAAGGTGCTGAAGTAAAACCTTCGACTATTGATATAACTAGACATTCCATCCCCATGTTAAAGTTATTTTTTATTTTGTTTATAACCCGCAAATCTTTACCATCATGGATGTAGTTAAAGAGTGAGCTACCGACAGATTGCACATTGCACTGATTTCTGGTAAATATACGGACTGTTAAACTTTGAGGACTTATTGTAACCTACGTCACTTCAACAATCTCAGTATCAAATAATAATTTAGCAAATAGAGTGCGCACTCTGTGACTGGCTCACTCAACAATGTAGAACGAATTGTAACGAGTCACTTTTAAGAACGTTATACTGTGCACTATTCAACTCAATATTACAATACGCCTTGCCATGCTGGGGAGAAACTTTCAAAACCTTAAGAACAACACAAAACTTGTTTATACGTATAATTTTAAAACAACCTGAACAATTTCGTCTCCAGTCTACCAACAGTTGAAGATTTTGGCCATACAGCACCTTTTTCTTTTCAAAGTTCAGACTTTTTTTGTTTAAAGTGTACATAGAGTTAACGTCATGCCAAATACACATACATACATAACAAGAAGTTTTACCAATAATATGCTGAAACTATCCAAAGGAAATAAAGCTATTTTTCACCCCACTCTCGAATACTTAGGCCCAAAAATACTATTACCACTTCAAATAAAAAATACAGTGTGTCCAAAAAGTCCCGGGACGGTATGTTAATTGTGTTATATTATTGTAGTTTTTATATTGTAAATGGAATGTCTACTTCGGCATCCAACAGTCAAGGGTAAAACTTAAAAACTAAACCATGAATTGTTCACCTTTATGATCAATTGATTGTTTTAAGTTTGTACGTGTTTTTTTTTGTTTTTTACTACATCCTACGGTATGTGTTTAACTAATCTGGTACGATCCGTTGATCCGTAAACTATGATCAAACTCAGTTCTTTGATGTGACATAACCTAAACAATGTATGTGATAATCATGATGTGATTAGCAACAATCAGCTGATTCTCCATTGTTGTCCATTTTAAGCATGTGAAGGTTAACCGGATCGATGAAACAACTCTATAGATTTACACTTTGCAGCTGGACATAATGAATCGACCTTCAGTCGCATTTAAAACACCAACTATTGTCTTTGTTTGAAATGTGCGTTTCCTACATAAAGTCGGAACTTCATTCCATAGGCTAGACCAGTAAAGAGTTGAGTTTAACAATGTCTCAATTTTTATCATATTTATATAGTTATTTGATAGTTTTATATTATTTGTGTGGCTGATATTTTCTATATTTTTGTGTATTGAAGCCAATATTTTTCGATAAGATTTGATGATGCCTTATTGAAAAATAAATCCCCTACTAGTAATTGCACGTTTACGTTTTATGCTATTAATGAAAAGGAGTAGAGATCCCGTTTCACAGATTTGTTGTAACCAGTTACGGTATGAAAATGAACATACAGTAGTTTAGTTTAGCCATATAGAGTGTGCTGCTGTCAATAAATGATTTCTATCGTGTACAACGACTATTTAATCAAACCAAATAGAAATAAATAACACACTTTGTGAACGGCTTAATCAAATATATTAAATAATATATATATATATATATATATATTAAAATACAGCCTATTATTATTATATATTATGAATTACTATAACATATTATAACGTGTCCGTGAGCTGTTTAGTCACTAGTCATGGGCATATGTTGTGCTTTGTTCATTAATTGATTCATCAAATTAATGTAAACTAGGGGACCATATCAGCAATTGCTGCTTTTTAGTTACGTACGCTTATTGAAATTAAATACACACTTTTTACACATTTATTTAGTATCGGCCTTTCCCTATCATAATACACTTCAACAATGTATTAGGTACCATTCTAACTTAAAAAAAAAAAAAAAAAAAAAAAAAAACAGAACACTAAAATACAAAAAATACAGATACGCTATGTTTATATCAGCTGGTAAATTTAAAACAGCTAATAGAAACAGTGTAGCAGTAAACTGCCATTAGAACATGAATGTACCTTTGACGGCCTGTGGGGCAGGGGTATTTTTTGACACTTCTGGAATTTTTTTCCACCGTCATTGAACCTTAAGCTTTTTAAATGAGTCCTCAACATCCGTGCTACCTTTTTCCTAGCTCGAGATATTTCGTCGGAACCGATTCACTTACGGAATTATATATACAGATATTCTTCATTTCAGCAATTCAGCTATTTTCTATATTATAGGACGAATTGTATTTCTTATATGTATTCTGACTTAGTCAATGCATTAATGTAAATCTTGCCAAATAAATTACTTATGACTTTTTTACGGATTTAGTGACTTAGCATCCCTTTAGAATCCCTTGAGTAATTTGCGTTCTAGTTTTAGCGAATTTCCCATATAGGGAATAAACTATTTCCATTCATCTCAAATTTAGGTTTAAAATGAAGAGTTTTTACGTTTTCTTCATATTTTTTTAACTATAAAAAAATCACTGTGTTTCTACTAGAAATATAAATTGCATATTGTCAAGTGTGATTTTATTCTCTGAACTATATTTATTTGTTATGTTGTATCTAACCAAGACTAAACAATATTATACATATAATATATAAGTTATATTATATTTCATTATGTTATAAGTTATTTTTTACAATCATTAGAATAACTTTTGAATTGCTCACATATAGGAAAATGGGGTTTTAAGTATCTTTTATATGTATATTAACTAAACGTCCTTTATAGTTCTGACATTCTTTTTAATCAAATCATTTTAAACATTTCTTGTCAACATGTTTCGAGTTTGACTCGATTAAGATAATAAACCCAGAAAGTACTATTCTAAAGGTACATGTTTTTTTTTTATAAATTACTTACGTTCGTACATAAGCTTTACAACTTATAGCTTGGTAAATGTTAACGTAAACGTCTTCTGATAACGCATCGAGCAACACGTTATGATCGATGTTATTGATTCAATTTGAATGTCTCTAAATTAGTCTCAACCAAACTAAATGTTAAACATTTTAACGCTAGGAATTATTTTAAGTAAACCAGTAGAGAATTGCTTACTACATTTAAACTTTATATTTTTGAATATTTTGTTGAACATTTAAACTGCAATGTGTTACAGTTGTGTACACTAAATATTCCAATGATGATTTTATTTATTTACTTAAAGTAACAAATATTAATTAATATTTAGGCCTATCTGAATACCCATTAACTGAAATTTTGACAATAATCTACACATATACAAATCTAACATCAACACCTTTGAAATGACATATTCATCTACTAATTTCGTTAATTATTTTGTTAGTTTTCCACACTCGCACAGACTGTACTTGACATTGAGTGAGTTATTTTAGCACCGCTTACTCTTGGGCAATGTAAAGGTGCAAATTGTTGTATTTTTTAGCCCGGACGTTTATTTTCGTCCTGTAAATCTTTAGGCCAAGGCCCTAGACTTTTCTCGGCCTCGGCCTAGGCCTAAGGCCAGATCATGCAAACGACACATACGATACTTTACCTTTACCCTTGGCCATGATGTGATCGATAGAGAAGATGAACAGCTACTGCCAACGTTCAAAGCATAAATATCCCTTACCCTCCCCTCCCACAACCTGTAGTATCGGCCCAGTGTTACCAACAAAATATTTCATATTGATAAATCAGATAAGTTAGTATTATCTTTCTAGACTTCCGTTTAGTTTGATTTGTTGTTTTGGATTAACTTTATAGATTTAAATCTAGTAAACGTTTAATTTGAACACAGTTACTGTTTTAATGTACGATTCGATTTATAAAAATAAAACTGCTTAAAACTTGTACTAATGTTGATTTATATATTTTTTAATTAGTTATTGTCGTATAATATGCTTTCAAATGAAGGAACATTCATTATTTGTTTTTAATTTAAGTTTAATTTAAAATTCAATAATTAGGCCTAAGTACAAATTTCAAATAACTTGTCAATAAATATTTTATGAGATTATACAGCACTAGTAATTAATTGGTTTGAGCGGCTTAAAAATAAAATTTTTAGTAAAACTAACAATGTTGTAAAGAACAATATTCTGAGAAGGGTAAAAACACAACTCGATGTAAAAATCTTTATTTTTACTTTAACGTAAAAAGATATGTTAATTATCACAGTACAAATAATGCAACTTCTTATATAACCTACTCTTAAATATTTACACAACACTCCTTACATAAACAGATATAAAATTTATATAATGTAAGTTAAACTAAACATAGGTACTATCATCTATTACAAAACACACATGAATCAGACATTTGCGTCATCATACCAAACAATTGCGTCAGATCTTTCGTTGTTCATTGATGAGGATTCTAGCTGAAATTGCAGCTAATTTGGACTTCAAACAATTGAGCAATGACAGTTTACCTTGTTCTACAAAAGAACGAATCCAAACCCAAATGTAAGCTCCTATTCATTATTTTCGTATACAAATCTTCTTTTATAGGCCTACTACCGTATTGAATTGTCCTATATGTATGCCACTTATAACATTTAAAACTTATTTTAACTAAGTAGGCAAAATATCGACACGTAATAGTCTTTAAATATAAATACTTTTATTAAAAACACTTTCTGATTATAAAGCAAGATTATTTGGTTATCTAAGGAAAGGTTTTTGGTTCATACTATCCGTTACACACTAATAATGGTATTGTATAATGCCCTATTTAATTACGAAGAGATCATCGAGCATCTAAGAGAAACGGGAAACGACGAGATCTGGTCAAAGTCAAGATTCACGAGTTGAGCCTCTCAAAGGTTTAAGATTTATCCGAAGACAAGGCGTTTCGTCGTAACAAAATATTACTAGACTTTGAGATCTTGCCAAAAGATCAGGAGATTATGGTGCGTATCATTGAGTATGCCACTATAAAAACGAAGATCAGAATGTTACAAGACATTGGCAAACTATTAGAATCAGGAGATAATTAGGATTTGCCAAAAGACTCTGATACCTATTACAAAGGCAAGGAAGCATGAGCTGATAACAAAATAAATTGAGTATGAGACTTTTGCAATACACCCTGAGACTATAGCTTTTGCAAAATATCAGGGGACTATAACTTTGGCTAAATGTCAGGAGAGTGTGAGTTTTTAAGGCAAAATATCCGGAGACTTTAACTTTGGCTAAATATCAGGGTGGTATGAGTTTTTTTAGGCAAAATATTGGGGGACTATGAGACTTCTGCAATATATCAGGCAGGAGACAATGAGATTTTTTTAACATCAGTTGACTATGAGACTCTTGTTAAATTTCAGTTGACTATGAGACTCTAGCAAAGTATTGGGGGACTACGACGAGGAGCGGTAGGGCGCCTCTCCCGTGATACTGAAGGCAGCGATGAACACGTTGATGATTGTGATCAGAAACACTCCAACCACCACGTAGTTGTTGATCTGGTTGGCCTTCTCCAGCTTGGAATCACCCTTGAGATCGCAGCGACCCTTGAAGATAAGGGAGACTCCTACCGCCACCTTGAACAGAACAGGAGAGTTTACATACGACGATCATTAGAAAAAATAAACGTCATCAGCATTCTGACACATACTTTCTCCCATAAGCTTGTCTAAAACCTTTATCATGGGTAAGCGGTAAGAGTAAATATGATATTTTATAGTTAAAAATCACAAAAGTTGCAATAACTTTTGAAACGTAATTGTTACAGCAATGGGGTGTTGTACTATTTTTTTATCATTAGGACCAAACATATTAAGAACAGTCAAAAAGCTACTGAATTTTCTGTGTTTTAATTAACGCTGAAACACTATTAGATAAACTGCCACACAGCTGATTTACTTACATTATATCGCTGTTTTTGTGGTCATTATCTAACAAACACAATTCTCATCCCATTGTAATAATTTTTTAAGCTCTTTTTCGTGTCTATTTCATATCCGGTAACACTGATTACTAGTGTCGACGAAATTTTGTTTCTATTACTACGTTCTCCCCCTATACATAGTATATGGAGAAAGTATTGATTACGTCAAAATGTTCAAATTTGAGTTTTGAGTGGATATATTCGTTTTGGCCCCCCTGAACCCAAAAAAGGGATTTTCGAAGTTATGTCTCTGTGTGTGGATGTGTACAGAGCTACAGACCTCACCTGTAGTCCAATTTTGATGAAATTTTGTACGTATAGTAACTAATCCGTAGTATCTCTAGTCTTTTTTTTAATTTTTTCAAAATTTTTATTATTATTAGGAATTTCCCATAAAAACCATAAAATAACGGAAAAATCTGATTTTTATCTAAGATGACCGGGACGATTTTAATACAAATTTATTATGATATAGTCCTTTAAATTTCCAAAGTTATTGTAACTTATGTTATTTTCCCATAAAATAACAAAAAATTGGATTTTAGAAAAAAAACCGGGTTTGATTAAAATTAGTATGTTATGGTCCTTGTTTTCTAAACAAAATTACGCAACCCCCCATTGCTGTAACAATTATTGCTTAAAAGCTATTGCAAATTTTGTGATTTTCCCAAAAAAATATCATAGTTACTCCCACCGCCCATGATAAAGGTTGTTGACAAACTTATGAGAGAAAGTATGTGTCAGATTGCTGATGCCGTTAATTTTAGAGTTAATTTCACATTTATGCTCTACTGTTTGGTTGTATAGGGGATGAGTTATTGTTTATGATTAGATAGTTTTTGTTTGGTTAAACGAGGTTTCAAACGACTGAAGAAATAACAAGAAACAAATTGTATGCAAAACACGGTCTCTGCAGTGCACCGGATGGAACTAACAATAAAATTAGCTTCAGCGTTCCGTATGAGAAATTGGTATTCATTGGTAAAACGTATAATACTTGTTCTTTAATAGCACCTTTCAATGTAGACAATATTCAATAATATATGATTTTTTTTTGTATCACTAATTATGTTGTAGCAGCTATAAATAACTTGTTTTATAATCTTACGCTTGTGTCCTGTTCAAAGCTCGGGCAAAGAAAGCCACCAGTTTTCATCATTAGAAAGACAGCCTACCTGGGTGTGCTATTTACGACAAAACTAAGTTGAGCATGAGTTAGTAGCAAATGATATTACACACATCAGTAGACGAGATCTGATCATGGATGGACTGGTTCATTGACGAGGGTGGCTTTGAAGAACGCCTACGATATTGGGGAAGGACAATCGGTGTATTTTTTACCCTTGAGGCTAAAACTAGATTCCAATAGCAATATAGATACGTTGGTATACAGTTGTATTACCGACCTGAAACTGCGTTTGTTTTCTTTTTAACCGACTTCCCCACTACCAACAAAAGGAAAAGGTTCTCAATTTGTTTGTGGCGATGTTTTTTTTCTATGTATGTTCACCAATTTCTCTGTGATTCTTTTACCGATCAGTGTGGTTCCACCACCAAAATAACCAGGAGAGTTTCTATTTGGTACCTTATATATTATGTTTAAGTATAATATTTGTTTCGGTGAAAAATTCTGAAAACCTTAAATATTCAACATTAATTTTGTTTACATTTGTGCAGATTGTTTACATTTGTGCAGAGAAGGCAATTAATAATAATAACATTCCTACAGCTGTTAGTTGAAACCATTTAAATGAAGCTACAGACAATTCTTCTCATATTGATCAATAAACTATTTCTTGCCATGGAGCCTAAATGAATTACATTGAGAAAAGTGCATTTTGTTTTGGTTACTATAACAAATTTATTTTAACGTTTGACCTGATTTGTGTATACAGTAATTCTGTTTTTAGTATTCAATATTCTGACTTACAAAAACATATATGTTTCAGTGAATAGCTGTATGATGTTGACAAATAAAGGTGTACTGTGAAAACCAAAGCATTCGTAAAACAGGTCTAAATATAAATTAAATGCAATTATTCCTTACACGACCTAAGAAGTGTGACAGTGCATAATCGTCAATTAATTGTCTTAAAAATGTTAAATATTTTAATTACTAAACATGCATTTGCAGATGTGGAATGTTTATTGATATTCTCTACCCAGTTACTATATCATATCAATACTATTATGCCTGCTTCAGAAAGTCCTAGAGGAAGATGATTTGCAATTTCGACTAGGCTATATCTTGATCAAACAAAACCACCTACATGGCTTGCACCACTTTTAGCTGAACCAATCTTTCATATACATATTTCATTTGCAGATGTGGAATGTTTATTAATGTTCTCTACCCACTTACTATAACATATCAATACTATTATGCCTGCTTCGGAAAGTCCTAGAGGAAGATGATTTGCAATTTTGACTAGGCTATATCTTGAGCAAACAAAACCCCCTACATGACTTACACCACTTTTAGCTGAACCAATCTTTCATATAATATTTTCCAAAGGTACTATACGTGTTAACGACCAATTTTCCACTTTTGAGAGATTGTTTAGTGCTGGTAGCTGAGGAATAACTTTCATATTGTTCCAAAAGGCTTGAGACGTCACTGTATTTCTTTTTATAATGTAGAAGTACACCGATTGCAGGAAACGATGATGTCTGACATTTCAATGTATCTAGAAAAGACAATTAGTTTTTCATTAGGCCAAATGTAATGGACAACTCTTTCTTTCTTAAGGAATAGGCCTATCTAAAAATGTTTATTTTCATACCCATTGATTATGTAACCTGATCAGGTGACTCAAGCAGTTTTAAAATAATGATTGTTCTGTGGAACTTTTGATTGTTTCAAACAGTTTTGCTTATCAAAAAACCTCAAGTAATTAATATACTGTATAAAAAATTATACAGTCACTAAAAATCATGAAATAATTTATTTTTGTAAAAAAATACAACCGACTTCCAACGCTCTAAAAAGAATGAAATAATTTCAATAAAGTAAACTTTTGTATTAGGCAAGCTCACGTATTTCAAGTCGGCGCGGCTCAAACTGCAAATATGATTGAAATTAAATATTGTACGTATATTTTGAAAATCAATAAATTGTAGCTGGATAACATAAATATATAAAAAACATACTGAACTGTTTTGTTTATATATTAAAGGAAATATTTTCTTACAAGAGGTTCTACCCGCGAATTCACAGGTGAACAGAAGCCACCATTAAATTAATTTAATCAACTTTGACTTTATATTTCATTTAAAGGGCCCAAGTTCGAGAAATTGTCATCTGAAAGGGTGTTAAAAGCAGTGGAACCTTCATACCTTACGTCCTTAAATTGGGCGAGGTTGTACCTGAACACGCAGCTCTCTTTCACGACGTCTTTAATACTCTACTTTAATACTTTTCAATGAAATTGCGACCTGTTAAAGATCAGTGACAACCTCTTGGAACGAAGAACATACATGGTTTTTAATCCCATATTCATCGTGTTTCGAACACCTTTAATCACTCACTTGTATCAAACAGCTAGAAATAGCTTCACTGTCCATTCGCCGCACTTCTTTTAAGAACATAAAAGTAAATAATAAAATAATTAAACAAAAATGTAAACAAACAAACTAGATTTTGTCAATTCCATTGGCCAGCTGTTGTTCACTAAATTAATCGAATAATAACTTCCAAAACATGCAAGGCGTAGCCCTTTGGAAATCAGCCCATGGGGCAGAGCCCTTAGGGAGTTCGTCCATATCAATACTTTTCGGCAAATCTACACACTCTAAGCTTTATTTTGATGTGACATATGCCTATATTTTTATTTGGTAAATGGCCTTAACCGCTTACATAAAATTTGATTGTATCACTTTAATAGTATAATAGATATTTTATGTTTACTTCAGAATAATTAATCTATATGAATAGGAAAATAATTTAGTTTGATATTGTGATAGGGAAAAGAAGCTAGTTTAGTATTAAAACGTTACTTTTCCAAGTTAGAAACATTTAAATGTGTTATAATCCTTTTAAAGATGCTCGTTAATACCACTATAATGCCGATCTCTGATTACGGTAATAAAATAACACTTAACGCATAACTATGAAAAATACATGCAGATTAACACCTTTAGTTATAGATAGTCACCTGCAATATGGACACCCTTTTTCAATTTTGTATCAAAAATCATCATAGAGCCGCGCCGACTTAAAATACGTGAGCTTGCCTAATACAAAAGTTTACTTTATTGAAATTATTTCATTCTTTTTAGAGCGTTTGAAGTCGGTTGTATTTTTTTACAAAAATAAATTATTATAGCTGTAAAAAGAAAACAAAATATCTACATTGTGCATTATTAAAAAAAAAATGTATTACCATAGATAAAACATACGTATTACCACATAACAGGCTTTACAAAACCTGTCCATTCTGCCTTAATTGCATTTCAGAGGGATTCTATATCTATAATATCACCATGAAAACACTAATTATGAGATAGTGTTTAAATAAATTTAATTTAATACATTTAAATCCAAACAATTGGACGATAAGTGAGGGACGAGTAAGATGCCTTGTTACAGACTAAGACCATCTCTGGCTTACTTCATCATACGTATTTATTTATTGTACATGCAGTGATATTATTATACCATTTCATAACCTGAGTTAGCTGTTTTTGTATTGACAGACGCTCGGAAATGCAGGTAATTTTTTTTACTTTTTATTTATTTACTTCGGTTAGGACTATTAGCTACACGATGTAATATCACATTTAGCTACACGGGGACTACAACACAAAGGACTGCTAACAGATTCAAGAAATACGGAGTTTCAATAGCCTACAGGACTCAGAACACCATGAGTAAAATACTGCATCCAAAAATAGAAGATTGTAACAAATTTGACACTTCGGGCATCTATAAAATCAATTGTAACGATTGTGATAGCTTCTACATTGGACAGACTGTGAACTTCGTAAACCGCTACAAAAACCACATATCTGCGTGGAGGAACAACAAACCGGAAAGATCAAATGTCGCACAACACCTGTTACAAAATGGGCACTCACTAGGAAAAATGGAGGATAGTCTAGATATTTTAAAGAATTGTAAGAAAGGATATGTAATGAATGCTTGGGAAGAATTGTATATTTATAAGGAAAAATGTAAAGATAGAAATAAGTTGATTAATGAACAAATACATTTTGATTCCAGTTGTACTTAAAAAATGTATTGGCCGGTGCTTCCGGTAGCCAATAGGGTATAAGTAGGGACGCCATTCAAGATTCTTGTCATTCACCTATTGGGTCTGATGATGATTGGAGTGTCCAATCGAAATCGATCACCACTTACCATCGTTTTTGTATATTTACCGTCTTGTGAGTAACAGTATAAGCGTAAATATATGTTTTAAGTGTTATAAGACGTTTCTTTTATTTACTTTCCGTAAATTTAATAACACGTACAATGCTGATCAAGAAGTTATTTTATGACTATTAACTACCTATATTATTTATGAAAGTATGATATTTAGCGTGGCTGACCTTTCTAAGGATCGAACCAGCGACCTTCAGATTGAAAGGATGGAACTGTTAGCACTCATAAAAAACTAACCCAGACAATTATTAGTATTATGTTGAATATTCGGCGTCGGTATGACGATTGGTTCTAAAATATATAACGGCGTTCAATGCTGTCCTAATTTTGCTCGTAGGAAAACCACACGAACCACAGACAAGGGAACTTAGACAGGAAGAGGTTAGATATTCTAATATTGTCTTATCAGCTTGGCCTAACTGCAAACGTATTTCCATGTCCATGGCGTCAGCTGAATTATACAGGGTGTCCCGGAACTCTCTACCAATATTTTAGGGCATTGATCCTGGGTAAGAAACGTACCTAAATATCATATTTAAATTGTCCGAAAGTCCTTTGTTACTCACACAGCCGCCATTTTGTTTTTTCAGTTATTAATTTTTTTCTAAAGAATGGTTAAGGATACAAAATGGAAACTTTGCACAAACATTTATGCCAACTAGACAAAGCTACAAAAAAATTATGAAGATTTTTCAAATTCATAAAACAAAATGGCGGCCATTTAAAATTTTCTTTCTTCTAAGAATTTTCTTCTAAATAACTCAAAAACCATTGATTTTACAAAAACTTTAAGTGGCCGCCATTTTGTTTTATGAATTGAAAAAATCGTGATAATTTTTTGGTAGCTTTGTCTAGTTGTCATAAATGTTTGTGCAAAGTTTCCAATTCGTATGTTTAACCATTCTTTAGAAAAAAATTAATAACTGAAAAAACAAAATGGCGGCTGTGTGAGTAACTAAGGACTTCCGGACAGTTTAAATATGATATTTAGTTATGTTTCTTACCCAGGAGCAATGCCCTAAAATATTGGTAGAGAGTTCCGGGACACCATGTATAATTGAATTATATCTTCTCCTTGTCCACATAATAAAAACTCTTATTAACGATAAATAAAACGTAGGCTATACTTTGATTTGATGAAGTCACAAAAAATAAGCCAGTGAATCGCTTTAGATTTAAATTAAACTCGGAAATGTTCATCGTATTGCGACGAGAACGGCTGTTCACAACACATTCGTTGTAAATATTTTAATCCCTAATACAAAAAAATTAGCGTCATTCGCCTATTGGGTCTGATGATAATTGGAGTGTCCAATCGAAATCGATCACCACTTACCACCTTTTTTGTATTTACCGTCTTGTGAGTAACAGTACAAGCGTAAATATGTGTTTTAAGTGTTATAAGACGTTTCTTTATTTACTTTCCGTAAAAAATGAGCCAAGGAGATAAGCTGTGAATTTTCTATCTTTAGAACTGTTCGTTGTTTCACGTAATAAAATAGTCCCGATCCCGATCGGTAAAAATATTATTCAAATAACGTTATGTTTGAGCGAAATTCCCATATAGGGAATAAGCTATTACCGTAGGTCTCATAGTAAGATATAGATCTGGGACCGATTTACTTTTTTGTTTTGAGGTCCCATAAAAAACATCATAATTATAAGGATCATAACATATTAATTTTGACCAAAACCAGCTTTTCTCCAAGAATCCGATTTTTTTTTCATTTTATGGGGAATATAACAAAAGTTACAATAACTTTTGAACCGTAATTTTTACGGAAATTGGATTTTGTACAATTTTGTTCAGAATTTAAAGGTCTATAATACTTAATTTTTAAGAAAATCGTTCGGGTCATTTTCAAGAAAATCTTATCTTTTCGTTATTTTATGAGGTTTTATGGGGAAATCCCACCCCCATTAAAAATCTTAACTTCAAAAAATGAAAAAAACTTTCAAAATTTTAAGGACCATAAGATACTAAGTTGAATCAAAAACGGCCTTTTTAAAATCCTATTTTCTTTATTTTATGGGGGTCTTATGGGAAAATAACACAATTTACAAAAATTTTTACGGAAATTTGAGTCGTACCATTTTGATCAGAATTTAAAGAGCTACAACATACTGAATGTTTATCAAAATCGTCTAGGCCATTTTTGAGAAAATCCGATTTTTCCATTATTTTACGTGTTTTTATGGGACATTAATAAAAAATTCAAAAAAATTAAAAAAACGCCTAGAGATACCATGGATTAGAACCTACATACCAAATTTCATCGAAATCGGATCACAGGTGTAGTAGTCCTTAGCTCCGTACACATCCAGACACACACGCACACACAGACATCACTTCGAAAACCACTTTTTTGGGTCCATGGGGACCTAACACGGAGGATATACTCACTTAAAACTCAAACTCGAAAATTTTGACAAAAACAATACTTTATTCATATACTATGGTATAGGGGGAGGAAGTAAAAAGAAAACATTCGGATCAACTTCGAAGAAGAGAAGGTGCGGTAGACGATGGGGAGGGAAAAGTGTAATATTGGAATAAGCTGATAATTCGGTTTTATGTTTATTTTGTTATGTAATCCAATAATGTTATGTTTTGTTCTGTGATTTAATTTAGTTTAAGTTAGTTTTTGATTTTAAATGCTGTCGTAGTGACCAATCAACTCTCAAGGTCCAAGTTATATTTCTAAAAGTTCAATTTCGCGTAGGGAGATTTGTACCATTACAGATTTATACCTTCCCATAGTTGGTTACTATCGGTTACTAGGTTACTATGACTGTACTATCTTTGATGCGCGGATCACTTCAGCCGTTCAGGAGGAGTATATGTAAACAAAGGCAGGCGAGTATACGTAGTGTTAGAGCTCCGCTCAAAAACACTTTAATACATTCCCTACAGCAGTACTAAGTACTAAATACTTGTTAATCCTAAATGCTATTTCAATAGGGAATAAATCTGACAAGTTTATGAAAATATTTTAGTTCAAATACAAACAGGTAAACAAGAAACGGATTGGTCCGGTGGTTTTCTGCAGAGTGCGTCATTTTTAACTACGGCTACAACTAATAGGGTACAAGTTTTTTTAGGGTACTACAACTAATATTGTACGTTGTCTTAATTAAGTTACAATCTACATACTCAGTTTTTAGACAAACGTACTGAAAATATTTTGGTAGAGAACTCTAGCCAAATGTATGACTAGTTTTAGGATATTTTTGTGGCGTATGGGGTTTTCCTCGATCCTAAAAATCCTATTAAATATGCACGTCAGCCTCTTCAAAAAAATCTAAATGCACTCTTGCGTAAAAGTTTAATTGGCATAAAACATGTACGATATACTATATATTTACAAATACCTGCAATATAAGGCTGATCGAGATGAGGACGATGACCAAATAGTAGGTCTTGGAGTTGGAGCTGTACTCCAACACGAATCTCAGTTGATTAGCGTTGGCAGTCAGAAGGGCGATGTCCATCATCCCCTGGGCGACCGTCTTCTTGGCGGCGAAGGTGTTGGCCAGGGGCCGCTTCTTGGACGAGGGTTCCACGGCGACCGCCGGGTCTAGCTCGAGCGACGCTTCGTCCATCGCTCTCGGTCTGTCTGCAGACGCGCCACTACCACGACTGTCCGAGTGACCGGCTGTTTCCTTCCCGCCGATCAGCTGTTTCCTGGTAAATGTACCGACGCGTCACTGGGGTATTCCCTCTGACCCTCTCTCGACCGTTTCTCGTGTGTAAGGTTTAGGGTGATTCAAGCGTAGCTTTTCTCTCAAATATAGTTTCCTCATTGAAACTGGAATTAAAATCTTAATAAATTGTTTTTGCTATGATAGCAAGTAATTTCTTACTGATTAATCCAGTTTCGAAACAAAGAAATACATAGGCATATACAGGGTATTCCAAATGGTGGGGACATAATTGTAGTGATTCCTTGGGTCACAAAAGTAAAGTGATAAAAACAAGTAAACAATTGTTCTCAAAAGCGCGTGTCTATTATTATCCTAACATTAAAATATTCCAAATAGGGCTAAGTGTCGAACCTAACCTTACATTAACAGCATGGTTTTCATAATCAAGACATTAATAAGATGGAGTTTAAACTATATCAGCACCTCATCCCTTGAGGGGAATATTAGTGACAATTTTAATAGATTCATAACTTCCTTTAAAATCTATTTAAAGGCCAGTGGCCTTGAGGCAAAGTCGAAAGATGTTAAAGCCGCAATTCTAGTCAATGCAATGGGCGAAGATGCTATTGAACTCTTTTAAAGGTTCAGTATAGATGAAAAGGATAGAGAAGATTATGAAAAAGTGCTTGAAGCTTTTGAAGTTTATGTGAAACCTAAAAGTAACGTGGTAGTTGCATGGTTTGAATTCAACTGTAGAAACCAACAGCATGGGGAGACTTTTGACCATTTCTTAACATAATTGAAAAAAACTAACCAAGTTGTGTTATTTTGGGGACCTAACGGACAGCTTACTCAGAGACCGAATCATTTTGGGAATATCAGATAAATCACTACAAGAGAGAATTCTGCGGGAAGTGGACTTGACCCTAGACAAGACTGTTAAGTTATCCCGAGCTACCGAACTTGGAAGAAAACAAGCTGAAGAGCTGTTCTATTTGATTACTGAGGGTACACATAAAATCTATGGCTATTGGTATAGGTTAGGTATTTTGCAGCACCTTTAAAAGGAACTTAACTTTTTTTGTGACCTTGGTTCACCCTCCCCCCCCTTCCCCGTTTCAAATAATAAGTAAAGCTGATAATGAGATGTAATAAATAGCTTAGGGATGTTGCATTAGGAAAATAAAAATACAATAAAAAAGCTGTGTTTTTATTTGTTTAGAGATAGATGGATTAAGGTGATGTTCTACCAATTCTTAGGTATAGGGGTGGTTGGCGTACAGCGAGGGATCGGATGTGCAGTGCGGTTGAAGCGTCGCAGAATAGAGTCAGCAGACTTGGAGCTGTAGGGAGATCTGGTGGTCCTGTCAACATTCAAACAATCTTTCTTCATACATTGAACTGACTTGACAAAAGCTTTGACTAGGGCTCTAGATCAAAGGGCATCAAACTCCTCTAAAAATTGTGTTGTAGAGATATTAAATTTAAGATTTTGAAATTATCAACTATAATATTTCTTTATTGTGGGATAAGGTGTAAAACTCTTTTTTTATATGTCTAATTATAAATACTAGAGGTCGTCCAGTGGTCGAAAAATCAACCAAAAATATGTAATGAACAGACTTCTCTATTTTCACCCCACACTATGTGATTGGAATTTCTTCCATTTGTTTTGATTTTCTATTTAGATTTCCTTGTTATGTCGTCACCAGCATGGCAACCCATAAAGCCAGTGTTAATTTTTTTAATGTTAATTTCTTGAGCCTATTTTAATACATAAAGGGATTCTGCACATCTAAAGGAAAATATCTTTCTTACAGTGTGAGTAGATTTTCCCTGCGATGTACAATGCACACAAGCTGAGAAAAAAGGTTTTAAAGAAACATGCTTGCCTATTAACATATAGCCTCTAGATAACTTTTTTACTCATGTCTAATTATAAATATTATATGCTCCAATCAAAAATGTTTACAAAGAATCCAAAAATTATATTACATTTTTGATTCTAACACACTAAAGGGCCATTGTCCCTGAAGCGACTCTTGCGATAGTAGCTGAGCGACAGTAGCTGAGCGACAGTAGCTCAGCGATAGTAGCTAACCATGTCATTGTCCCTGAAGCGATTGTTCTAGAGCGATTTTGTTCATTTTGCTGACTTTTCGAGTGAATTGGTGCCATGAGTGCCATGACACCAGCTAATTTTAAAATGTTTTTTTACCTCACTTTCTTGTCCGGTACAAACTTTGCAATCAATAACTAACTTCCCGACGAGCTAGAGAATTGAAACTTGAAACATAGCTCACAAATGGATGACAATGCAATATCATATAATTTAATTTTCATATTCCCCTTGGGCTAAGCCCCATGGGCTTCCAAATATTCATGTTTACATTTTGGAAGAATGTAGGCCTAAATATATCAATTGAAGTCAGCTGTAAATACTAAAATTATTAGAAAATAATTATCAATACAAATAACTTTTAAAAATACCACATTTTTTAACACACTAAAAAGTAAAAATAATTTATAAATATGTGGAGAGAATAAATACTTGTAAGATTTAAAACGAAAAACGTGGGGAGCATGGAATAGATAATAATAGTTCAATAGGTGAAGATAATTCTAAATTAGCATGCCCCCCCCACGTTTTAAATCTTCAAGTATTTATTCAATACATTCTGTACTAACAGCTTTTCATCTTCTTCAGGGGTAGAAAGTAGCTTTGTATTCTTTGAAGACATTACGACCAAAACAAGTCTACACACAACACAAATCGCTCAGCAACTGCGACTCTTGACTCCCCTCAGAGCAGACCCGCTACAGTCGCTGTGTTCAGCCGCTAGCGGCTCCAGTCGCAGTCGCGTCAAGGACAATGGTCCCATTTGAAACAATACTAACCAGTGCTCAGCTACTATCCCTGAGCTACTATCGCTCAGCTACTATCGCAAGAGTCGCTTCAGAGACAATGCACCTTATGGAGCGTATAAAGCAAAGATGAGTGAAGGACGAGTGTAAGATGAGATGAATGAGATGAAGATGACAGCTTTGTTACTATATGGTCAGCTGGTTTTTGGCAATGAACCATTCATTTGTTAAAGCCCAATAATATAATACTGCAACCTCCTGCACCTTTACAAGGCGATCACTATCCACATTATTATATAGACAGGTCTGACACTTCCATTTGAATGACAAAATATTTTAAATCGTAGAAATAACTCAAGGTGTTTCTAAGACTTGACTATTAATAAAACTAGACATTTCATTCCCATGTTTAAAACTGTCACAATTTTTAAAATTAAAATCATGAATTAAAAAAAAAATGTGAGGCACCAGCAAGTTGTGCTGATCTAAATTAAAATTGTTTGTCGAATACTCAAATAATTTTACAAAGTCAAACTAATGGAATGGTGGATTGAGAGCCATAGTAACTGTAGCAACTGTAGAAGCCGCCAACTTGGTCAGCAATAAAAAATAAGGTAGAAAATAAAATTTGAGACACTCTAGGGCATTCTATGACTGGCTCACACAACTATGTTCTTTAAATAAAAAAATTGGCGACAGCTGATCTATAGATTGTCTACTTCAGTATCTTATAGTCAATGGATAAAGTCTCTAAGGAAATATTTAGGATCGAGGCAGATAAGGTAATATACAGCCTTTATTAAAACATACTGTTTTTGATGAACATGAACCTGGCTTACCTGTAAGAGTGAGAGATCTTAGACTTGGTCTTGTTTGGAGGAGACAGCTGCCTCAGCTGATGTTCCAACAGAGAGATGGACTGTTTCTGGTTCTTACATCGGCGTTCCCACACGTCTCTCTCAGACTGCAGCTCGTCCAGCCTCACTTGTAACATCAGGTAGCTGTGGGCGTCCGGGCTCTGAGGAACACATGACGGTTTACTCGATAGAGGATTTACATATTTAACCAGTCCTATTGAGGTACAAACTAACTTACTTAGTCCATTCATACTTAGCTTAAATACCTACCTTTGTATGGTTGCCATTTCAAATTAAATTATTAATGTATCAAACGCAAAAGTAAGTTATTTAGTATTCTACATGTAAAACTTTTATGTAGTTTTTTTTCTGTTTCCCATGTATTGTGACTATACAAAACCACATTTATTGTTCCCATACAGGTTTTTAATTGGGTAGCAGAGTCGTTTCATTATAGTGGTCACTTCAAATACTGGCACATTCAGAAAATAAACAAAACTATACAAAAATTGACAACTACACACAATTAATCTAGCTTGAACAATCATCCAGTAACTTCCAAGGCTAACATATACAATAAAAGCTTAACAGAAGTTTAAATTTTACTAAAAAGTTAAAATCTGAAAAAGTAATCCGTCGACTTTAAATGGTTCCAATAAAATGTAATCAATGGATAAAGTTATTTTGGTAGGTTAAATTTATTAAATTATAATTGATTGATAATAATTATTTATTTTATATTAGTAATATTTTTTCATCCAATTCAATACGGTATAAAAATAAAACTATTTCTCATAAAAAAGTTAATTATTTTGGGTTACCTACTGATTAAGCTTACAAAAGTCATATCTTATATTGCTCACCTTAAAGTTTGAGTTAAGCTTCTTGATATTGTGATTTATTATTTCAGCAGTGATTAGTTCATTTACATTCTGAAAAATAATAAAAAGGCAGTTATGAGGAAGTTAACAGAATGTCTGGCTACCCAAAGAGTAAGAGGAATCAGTGTGGTTTCTATTTTTCAATCAAGAAACAATACCTGACATCTGGTTTAAGTTTGTTTGAAGATGAGCTGTACTTAATTGATCTCCACAAAATTACAACCATCAGCTTGCAATTAAGGACATAGAGGATTCGTTTCTCTCGGCTTTTAAACAATCAAGAACAAAAATAAAATATGTACCTTGACCTCTTTCTGCTCCGTAAGTTTGTATTTTGACTCTTTCTGTTTAAAGTCCTGCCGCAAACTTCCAATGGAGAGCAGAACGTCATTGAGCTTAGACTTCAACGAGACTAATGTTTGACCCTTCTTCCCGATAGATTTTTTCAAATCCATTACTATTCTAGTTTTATGCTCAAAGTTTTCCTGAAGCTCCTTGTTCTCGATGATTAGTTTGTTGAGATCGATCGGATGGAGTCGTTCTCTCAGTTCAAGCCTCTGTTCTTCACGTGCAACCAGTCGATTGAACTCAATCTGGGTTGATTTTGTTTTTAGTTTCAGCTTTCTCAAGTCTCGATCACCATTTTGAAGTTCACTTTCCACAAATCTGTTAAGTGTTACAAATTTTAAATCTTAATTTTTAAAGTTTTTTTTAAGAACACTGTATGTTGTTAGATATTTTTAAGAGTTTGTGAGGGATGGATCAGAATGCTCATCTAAGAGAAAACTTTGGCAGCACGCAATAAGCTATACAACAACAAAAATATACAGAAAAATTAATTTTTGCTATGAGTATTTGCACTGGGTAGCCCTTATTCTCCATAATAAGCTATAGCTTGAAGCTCAGGTCTGAAATTTTGTAAGAACTGCCTATCAAACAGCAAAACTTGAATTTCTTCGTAGACCGAATTCTAGACTTAATTTTACATTATCAAACTAAAATTACCTTAGAAACTTATCATGAAATACCCGACCAGTTTTCTTATCCACGCTGTGTTTGACAAAGTTCTCAAAAGCTGTTTTGGTCTCTTCTATAAGAAGAATGTCAGATCTGATATTCTCTTCTTCAGTTTCAAGTAAAAATTTTGCAGATTGAAAGCGTTTGTATAGTTTGTCCATTGTGATTCTACTTTCATCTAATTCTCTGTCGACCATATCTATTTTGAACAAAGGACATATCCTGCAAAAATAAAAAATGAGAAATAATTAAAAAAATAAGAAAATATAATATAATGTTTTGATTTGAGATTAGACTGGTAGATTAGATGTTTGGATTTCACAGTGAATTTTAATTTGAGATTAGACAAACAAACAATTGGTTTTTGTTAGGTAAAATTAACTATACAGTGGTAACTTCCTAATAGTTCTTAGTTATACCATTGTGCTACTTGTCAACTAAGACTGAAAATGCTGTCAGTGACAGAGAAATATTCTAATGTGTTCTGTCTCTTGTGCCAGTTTGGACTCTTTCCCATTCAGGTAAGCCTGCTATCCTCACAAAAAATTGTTATTTGGGAAATAGTGTTTGCTGGACACACACAAAGCATGGACAGAATATTAGCCTGATTTAAGGTGAAACTCACAGAGTTTACCCATTCCATCAAATTCCACCAGATCTACTCAAGCTTACTGTTTTTAGGAGGGCCTCCCTCGCAAAGCTTTGCCACAGACAGGGTGAGCTCCTCATGTGTTGTAGGCTACATACCAGAAATGATAAAGATGCAGAATTCAAACCCTCAATCTCCTGTGCTATCTCCTGGCTTGAGAGATGACACTTCAGGCCGTTTGGCCACAATCAGACCTATATATCTAACGTAATAACAGCACTGATCAACCGAAAGCTAAAGCTTGGTTCTTAACTTGACTCCCAGGCTGAACCAAGTGTAGCTGTCAGCTGTTTCTCTTCTTTGAGGTTTATACTCACATAGACAGTTGTAAGAGTAAGTTTGGTTATGTTACACCTGGATATATCGAACTCTAGAGGAAAATTACCAATCTTCATATACCAACAACTCAGAACTTGGAGGAAAAATTCTTAAGCAAAGAAACAATCCAACCTGTAAGCACTGATGGAGGAGTGTGCAAGACTGTGGGACATGTGACCATGACGACTTGTAGTGCGGGAGGGAGTGGGGGAACGGCCACTGGCTGAGGTAGAATAAGAGCTGCGAGGGGTGTGAATGGAGAACAACCCACTCATGCGCAGGCTGGACGGCTGCTCTGAGAACTTGTCAACTCCTGCGACGTCAAGCAAGTTCAAATACAATCACAGAGACACATATAAATATAAATATAAACATAAATATAAATATATAAATAGCTGGGTATGGGTAGCTGAGTGGTGCTCTGTCTAGTAGAGTGGTAACTGTCTGTAGTGTGAGTGGTAGCTGTGTTTGGTGTGTGCCTGATGTTTTGTAATCAGGAGTTTGCCAATTCTATCCAGAGGAAAGCAGGGGGAGCCCAGGGGGGTCTGCATATATATTGGGATATTATTTTATATTTAAAATATAAATAAAAAATAAGAAGTAAAAAAATAAAGTTTGGATTTATTATGTTAAACATTTTCCTCAAAGAAGACTCCCAGGCCATAGTTGGTTTGATCACCTCTTCCCCCCTCCTATTCAACTGGCTGGATTTGCCGATGGAGAAAAGTTAAAGTAGCTTTTCGATGGTTTGAAACTGGGACCAGTCGTCCTTTTATCATTGGATTTATAATGCTGCTGGCTAAAGCAATAGCTGATCTTAGTGAGAAACAAAGCCACACAATGCATCTTTATTCATAGTTAGGTTGGAATATACCCAATCGTATCCCCATCATAATTGGTACCGTAAGGATTTAATCATTAAGTGTGGCGAGTGAGCAGGATGTAGACTGGTAACCATCCTCTCTCCATCATGATTTATGTTATTTTGAACAGTAATCTTAAAAAATTGTTGATTGATGTCTCTAAGATTGGGGAGGGGAAGTTTTATGTCCTTCTCACACTACAATCCACACAGCATGCTAATCAACAATAATAATATAGCCTACTTTACACACTACCTATACTGTCTGTCACACTGGAAGGAACATCTAGTTGTTTAGGATCCCTTCCTATAAAATATTCTAAAATATTTTTTTAATTCTCAACAATAAACTCACCTACCAACAATGTAGGACATCTCTTCCTTAAATATCTCTCAAAAATCTCAGCTTTCAAGGCAAAAGTGAAATTATTATTTTTTAATGATTCCACATCAGCTGCAAGATCTTGTAAATTTGAATACTCTGTAACATTTGGATTCATTACATTCTGACCAAAATATATTGGAAAACTATAACACAGTTTAGGATTATAAACATTATCGGTACTCGTAAAAAAGTGCAATTTCAATTAAAGCATTAGCTACGTTCCATTTCTGAAGATTTTTATTAAACTTATTTAGAGAACTGAGGCAATACTGAGATACTGGTAAGTAAAGGACTTTATAAAAAAAGTTTACTTAGATTATAAATACAATTTATAAGACGTACTGAAAATGTTTGTTAAAATAAAATAATAAATTTGACAAGCAACTGCTTCCTCTAACTTTTGCAGTTTGTGTGAACAAATTATTGTAGAACTGGAGTATTTGTGTTTTCAAGAGCAAGAGGAAAATGATCCTAGTGGCACATTTAGTGACAGAGATAAACCGGTTGAACAAAACCAGTTTTCACAAAGACTCAAGTTCTCTGCCTTCCAAAACTTATCCACAGTGTATTAAGCAAAAGACCTCACTAAAGATTACATCTCATTCTGGGGTGGTAAGAATATAGTAATATTTTCTTCCCACCATAAAACGAGCTGTAATCTTTCTTATTAGGTACCTATCTTTCTAGAACGAGAAGACACACTGTCTTCTCGTCCATCTGGAAGTTACATGAGCATAGCCTGGATTTGCTTGGATAAGTTTGACTTCTTCTACAATTGAGTCACACTTGCTGGGCCTGGTTGTGACAGAAGGATCTTATTGAGTGAAGGACTTCAGGAAGAACTATTTCCCAATACTAAACCCTTTGAGGTTGAATTTTTTACAATTTTTCGCCTAGTATAGTTTGCCATTAGAGCAGTCAGGAAAATGGCGCCCGGCGATCTACTTGCCATTCGACTGCAAAAATAAACGTTTTAATTTTTTTTTGCCATTTTCGAGCAGTCGGGAAAATGGCGGGCGACGACCTATACTCGCCATTCGACCGCAAAGGGTTAACAGGTGTCCTGTGTTCTGAGAGCAAGCATAAATTAAGGTCTTCAGTGCCATTGAATCTCTCTACTTGGCCATTCCCTCTATATAGTTATAAGCAGAAGAGTGGCATGATGGATGCAATACCATGAATTATTAGTAAGGAGTTTACCTTCGTCCTGAATGGATGCACGAAGATATACCGAAAATTGTAAAAAGTTCTTTCAGTTTCTCAACCAGTGTACTGGAAGTCATGATTGGGAAAAGAAAATATGGATACCGTGAATATTTGTCAACGATAGTTAATATATCCATACTTATTTTGTGTAGCACTTGGAATTGGGCCCTTTAAAGTCTAAGTTCAGGCACTCAAAAGGTGCTGTAGCTTTGATTAATGTGCCTTTTATATTTGCAAAAACCTTGACTTACATTTAGCACAAATTCAACATTATGGGCTGTACGACATAACTTCTTCCAGTGAAAAAGGTAAGAGTGCTCTTTGAAAATATCTTGCCCTAAGACAACATCGGCTCATAAGCCGTCTAGAACAGAGTTTAGTTTCTTATTATGTAGACCTTGAATTGAGAAATCATCAAAACTGTAGTAACAATATTATTGCTAACTTTTAATTTAATTTAGATATATTTGATATAGCCCAAGGTGAAAGTATACACACTGTTTAGGTAATAGAAAAATGTATTTTACCTTCGATATTTTTGTTGCGAGAATGCCTTGAAATCTGAGACGGAACTTCCATTATGAATTTTTGAATTTACAGATAAAAACACAAATTTAAACTCCTAATAGATAGCATATATTAAAACATAACCAACCAAATTAATTTTGTTATTGATGAAGGAAGCAAAGTTACCTTGGATACAGCTGTTTCTAAGGTAAACAAACTCTTTCAGCTGGAAAGTTGAACAAGAATAATGTATGGCCAATGTATAAAGTTAAATAAAAACCAATATGAGCAGAGAAAAATTTGTAGATCTCATTGATTAAGTAGTTTATTTAGATAGGTACCCATTATTTTAAAATGATCCAAATATAACCAAAGGCAAAAACAAAAAAACAAACGATGAAATCCCATGATAACATACAATTAATTATAATTTAATTGTTATACATATTAAACATATATATATATTGTACATGTACTATATTATTTGAGTAGAATAGGTATATCGCAGATGTATTAGCATAGCATTATCATGGATTGTACCGGTATGAGATTATCACAAATTTAATGTACCGGTACAGATCATGTCAATTTGGAGAGGTGAACAGGATTTGTATACATCCAAGAACCATTCCCCACCACATCGCTTTTATTTTGAACAGTTAGTTATTTTAACAATTAGTAGGATACCTCAGCCTCTAGATTAGTGTTTCTCTAACTGTTGATGGACAATTTTCCACATTCCTCCTTACATGCTATCCTAATTGAAACCACTCTATTACATTTTTCTTTCATTTTATTCTTCAAGTACCTATATATGGCTCTTATAAAAAATACGAAAAAGGTTTGGCTAAGCCACAACAAAGACAAAAGTTTCACACTTTTTAAATATAGCAAACAGTTTTATTTGTTTTCAGCAACTCTATGATGTGCTATTCCCCTCTGTTTACTGTTTATACTGTTTATACTGTTCGATGAAATGGCGACCATACATAGTAGGTATTTTAAGCCAAGTATGAATGGAGATGAGTGTAGGATGAGTGGCGCGATCTTGTAGTCTTGTTAGTGACTAAGGCCGACATTCCTTAGACACAGCTGTTAATTAATAGCCCATACAGCTAATGGCAACTAAGGGACCTACAGTTTATAGTGGAATCCGAACCACATTTTTCCTTGGTATATACGAATTGGTTTAATTATCAGGATAGTACTGCGGATAGTCGTAGTACTCACTAGTGCGGACGTTAATACACACCAGGGAGTATCACATCCACAATGCATGCCTATAAATATCCACAATTCTCTGGAGCTGCCATTGTTTCCTTGCCAAATTCTGTGGCGCTGCCCTTAAAACTTGAAGCATTCTCAAGGACACCTAGTCTGGAGTCTAGCCACATGGTACCGGAGTGATTTTGGTGAATGCTTATGCTTGTTCTATCACCTTGTGCCCAAGAGCATGTCACTGGTTTTAGTTACAGTAGTAGGTAGTAGCTGTAGTAGCTTGGTTCTAGGTTGAAGCTGGTTTAAGTTGGAAATTTTGAGACCTCTTTCCCTCACAAATAAGCAAGACTTTTCTTTTCCTATACTGGTACATTAATTATTCTATAATGGATTAACCAATTCCAGAATGCAGAATATGTGGGCGATCCAGAATAAAAATTGGAAGCAGCCCCAGCTAGGGGTCTGTAATATTTTAAAAATCTGCTTATAGATCAAAATTTTTTTTAAGTCTGCTGTCAGATGGGTTTGAATAAGCATCTGAATAAATCGCAAAGGTGTAATGTGCAATTGTGTAAATGTAATTATGTACTGTATGTGTAATTGTGGGTGAGGTTCATAATGTCCAAATTTCACAAACTCCAACGTCTAAAATATTAAATAAACAGTGTGTTTCATAACCTCCAAACTTCATAAACTCCAAAACTATAACTTTCAAATAAGCACAGTTTCACAATGTCCAAATTTCACAAACTCCAACTTTTAAATACCTATCAAATAAACAGAGCGGTTCATAACCTCCAAGTTTCATAAGCTCCAACCTCCAACGGTACAGTCTCTGCCGTAAGTCAATCGAATTGGCGGGATACCGAGGCGGACGGGCCGAATGAACCTCTCTGTTTTACACAAACATACATTCACTAAACCTGCTCTGCTACACTTATTTCTTAACATACAAATTTCAAATTGATATATTATTTTTCTGGAAAAACCAGTGCTCATTACTATGTAGCTAGTTTTTACCTTAACATATTTTTTATAATTTATTTAGGCAAATTAAAACAGATGATTGTTTTTTAACACCATAAAAAACATGAAAAATGTAGTAAGCGAGGAACTTTTTTATTTTTTGGTCAGGAAAAAAATTCCTGCGGCAAAGTTTTGGATCAAAGTATGAATTTTATTTTTTATTTGAAGCTTTTTTGTGATACGGAGCCTGCTTGTATAATTTTTAAGCGATTAAAAATAGGCATAAAATCGCTTGGCGCGGCATTGGCGCTAGGAGTTTGGCCGGCTCAGCATCAGTTTACGGGATATAGAAACTGAGTTTCTATAGGTCGACCATTAATTTACAGGCGTATGTTTGTGCATTTTAATGCTTACCGGTAGTCTATAGTTAAAAAAATTCTTTGATATAAATGCTTCCCCGATTGTAATTTCGGAAATTGTCTTCGTGAAATACGAAAAGGCATATAAAGATGTGGAGATAATTTAAGTTCTTGGTAAAACCCACTGAATTAGCGACCTGGCCCAGTTATTATTTCAACTTTTATTCTCCTTTCGTTAAGGTAAACTAAATTAGTGTAAATGCATCCCTTTGACTAAACTTTACCCTAGATTTGGTTCTGGTCAAAATAATATAAACAAAAATAGAAACTACTCTTATTCTAAGTTTATGTGGTGGAATTCCTGCTAAAAGTGCGATTGACTTTACATTCTATCGAAATAGGCCTATTTAAAACGTTCACCCCCGCATTTTAAGACACCAGGGCAATCCCTGACAGTCGTCGGTTTAAATTTAGAAAATGCATGCTTTCACACGGACAGCTGTACACATATATATACAAATATAACAATTTTAACGAATTGTGTTTTTGGCTCCTGGGGACATCAAAATCAAAAAGTAAATCGGTCCCGGACCTAGGTCTTACCATGCCACCGATGGTAATAGCTACTGTACTTTCTTATAGGGAAATTTGCTAAATAGAATCTAAAAACTTTACAAGGTACCTATCTAATAACTTGTTGAATTATTTACATTGAACACTATTTTTAAATAGAATATGCAATAATCGTTACAACAACAACAACTTCATACCTTAATATTTTATACGACAGTCAAAGACTCCACTGTTTGTGATTACGCATTTTTATTGGTAAATAAGAGGTATACAATGCTTTAGCTCTCCACTGAAAAGGCAATCCAAATATAAATTATCACCTTGTAAAAACTTGAACATTATTGAACTAGCCACATTAAGTTGCAAAGAGAAACGAGACTGCTGTGAGTAAAAAAGTGTAAATACTCGAGTATGAGCTTTTATTGAAACGTGACCTACAATATGATGTATAAGTTAAATCCTACTTATAAAAATGTATTTCTGCGTTTATGTATGTTAGTTTCTACCTTTTTATGTAGTTTAAACTCATCCTTTTAGTGGGTAGAATGAATAAAGTACAAGGTTTTCGGCACTTTTCTAACAAAGGGCTATTTTTACACATAACAAAAAAACAACTGATGTAATCATCATGAAATGTTAACAGCTATTAGAAAATATACTTATAAAACATATTTATATGTTTTAAAATTTTTCATCGGTGAAAAATCTCTTACGATATTTGTAATGTAATAATTGGAGGTTATGAACCACTCTGTTTATTTAATATTTTAAGCGTTGGAGTTTGTGAAATTTGGAGTTTATGAAACGCTCCCGTAATTGTTACAGTTATTATTTAGGATTTAAAATAGTTTTATTGTTATTTATAGGATCTGGGGCCCAATATGGTGCAAAAGAAAATCACTACCTATCATTTTTTTGTTTTGTTTTGGGCTATCAACATCTGAATCACAATAAATCACTTTTAGTTTTAAGTATGGAGAATCACGAATCAAGACAAAAATGAATGAGAATGTATGAGTTCTGTCTGTTCTGAGTAATACAAAAATTTTACACGCATCAGATATAAAATTTGTACAGGTAGCTGTGCTGTTATCACTATGATCACTCAGCAGTATATATGATAACATGATTAAGGGCACTTCACTGTCCTTCACTGAAAGACCCAATCCCAATACAGTTTGCGAGGGGGGGAGGGCCCTGATGTTCCTGATCATTGGGCTTTAAATAAAATGGTCCTGGCTAATGAAACAGCTGATCTTAGACAGTAACAAAGCTATATACAGTATTACAGTACACAGATCATCCAAAGCCCACTAGAAAAACAGGCCATGCTGCAGTGCGGGCAGTGCAACACTACGTTACAGTGGTGGATAGTAATAAACTCTTACCATTAAAATCTTACAAACGGCCAGTTTATTTACCTAAAACATATGGGATATGGCAATGAATTTTTCAAATGAATCTATCCACTATAGTATGACGTCATGGGTCCTGCAGCGTGGCCTATCTCACATCATCATTCTACTCTCATTATTTGGATTAAAATACGCAGGTGGTGTCCCCATATAAATCATTCATGATTAACACAGATTGATCCTGTTTCCTTGATTGATCCTGTTTCCTCGTGGCTATTCCAGGAATTGTAACTGTAGACACTCTATCGATAACACTACTATTCAAAGTTTGAACACTTCCGATTTTAGGGTCGACGGTCGTAGGGCTATTTTCTTGTTAATTTCAGATACATAGCCTACCTTACATGTTTATTTTTAAATTTGATGTAGAATAAAAAACAGGAGCATTATTGCGATGCTCCAGTGCTTAATTGGAATCTTATAAAAATATCCTTTACATAAGGTACATATTAAACTCTAGATGAATAAGGAAAACATACGCTCCTTACTTGGACCAGCTAGCGTAAGGAACTCAAATTTCATCTACAAGAATAACCCTATTGACAATGGCACAATAATAAGATTATATTGATTATTAACGCAGTGTTGAAAAAATACTTCACAGAATTTCATTGCAAAAAGTGCAAGGAGTGGTACTTGACTTGAGTATTAGTAGA